CTTGCATATATTGTTGATGTAGATTATAAAGAGCAATGAACCCAAGACACTACCCTGCACAACACCACTGGTTATAGGTCGAGGTGTAGATGTATTAGAGTTAATCTTGGTTATTTGATATCTGTTCGTAAGAAAATACTTGATCTATAAAACAGCTGACAAACGGAAGTGTTTCAGGAAGGAGCTGGGAGTATGGGATTATATGTAGTTATAAAATATAGTGCTAAAAACAGTATCATGATATACAATTGGATACCCCCCTTTTGTCGAAGTTATTGGAGCCTTTTTATTAATTAATTGTTTTTATAGATTTTGTAGGGTCTTGAGTAGGCTTCGTATTTTAGTTAATTGACCCAGTTCGTAACATCCAACTTGAACATTAGGAGCCATAATTAAACAACATTATCGGGAACTCATACGATGGACTCAATGCAAAGTGATGCATGGAGGACAACTGACAGATGCATTCCAATTGAGGACTGGAGTCAGATAAGGCTGTCCACTCTCTCCCTTCCTCTTTCTTTTGGTGGTTCACCAGATAATGGAGAACTCGACATCTGAGGGAAAACACGGAGACCAATGGGCAGCTCGGAACCAATTAGACTATTTGGACATCGCAGTTGGCCTAGCCCACCCATCGCATACACACGAACAAATGCAGATAATAACAGCCAGTGTAGCAGCAGTCTCTGCGTCATAAGGCCTTAACAAACACAAAAGGAAAACCATGGTCCCCAAGTACAACACACAGAACAGCAATACAATCACACTTTATGGCGAAACTAGAAGACGTAGAATCCTTCAAATACCTGGGAAGCATCATCGATGAACAGGGAGGATCAGATGCAGACGTATAGGCAAGGATTGACAAAGCAAAGGACGCATTCTCACAATGGAACTCAAAACAACTTTTAGACAACATGAAAGTGAAAGTCGTCAAAACGAACGACAAGAAAGTTTTACTATACGGTGTCCGGCGCTTTAACCGGATCTCAAACCCATGGTGCACATGGGCTCCAGTATCCTGCGGGAACAAATGGCATGTGAACCAATCGTTGATCACCGGCCACCATGGAACTGCATCTCCTTACGATGCTCCACTGCCTTGTGGGTTAGACCTTTAGGTCAAAAACTCGGGGTGTGGCCCCCTAAGATAACCACCTGCTTCTGTCTGGGCACCCGGGCAGTATCACAGCCCACACACAAATGATGAACTTGTAACAGCATAGGTTGGTTGGTTAAGAGTTGTCCCCAAACAACCAAGCATATGCCAAAACAGTATTGTTTAAGTATCCACTCACTTCCTCATTTTGTATAGGCGTTATATTCCCTATTGTCTTATATTGAATGTTGAAAGCCTTTGTTTGTCTGAACAGATAATCCCACGCTCCACTGTGACTGCGCTACGATCGAAATAAAGACCTATTCACTACTTGTCTGGTTTCTTCTATCAATAGCACCAGGGTTACCCATAGGCACGAGAAACTCTCTATATCTATGGAAACTACTTTTATCGCTTCTAATAACAATCAAATGATTCAAATGATAATTTTTACTATTATTATTATTATTTACCACATTATTCCTCTTTTACACTTATACGGCGGCTCGTCTTTGGTGGAAATTCGACTGTATCTAAACGTTATCGAGTCACTGTCCGGTTGAAAATTGTATGTTACCACGGAATATAAGTACTGAAGAAGGTTTTCAGAAACACGTGCACCATTCAAAACGGGCTGCCTTCAACGTTCGCACACTTATGCAGGTCGAACAACAGATGGGACTGGCTGTGTTTTAATATCAATGTCTGATGTCTATCCGAGATCTGTATTCAAGACTCTGGTGAAGTACTACAAATTCGCTCTACATCTGTCGCTTCAAAAAGCTTGTTTTACGTGCGCTTATCCGGGGACCCTGTGGCATCTTCGTCTGGTCTTGATGTCATTGGTGTCGCACTAAGCGCTAGAGCTGAGGCAGCACTAATCGATTGGATCCCTATTAACAGTCGATTATGTGCTGTTAGATTAGAAAGTTGCATCAAAATGAGAAGAAATCGGCGTGAGAAACGATGTCTTTTTGTCATCTCCGCCTATGCCCCAACAGATTGCAGCCCGGATGCAATCGAGGATGAATTTTACCACCACTTAACTGTTCTTCTCCAGAAAGTGCATTCGATAGATATTTTAGTACCAGCCGGAGACTTGAATGCTCAGATCGGGCGTCTAGGCACAGAAGAGAATCGTTTAGGTGGCCGACGGTGAACTTGTTGGTTGCAGGTCAAATAACGGAAACCGTCTACTGCAACTTTGCACAGACCACAACCTGTTTCTGGCTAGCACTAACTTTCGGCACAGTCATCGCCGATGTGCCACCTGGCGTCCTCCCTCAGCGTCTCAAGCCTGGACTCAGATTGATCAATATTGCGATCAGCTACCGCTGGCGTGGTTGTGTACAAGACCGCCGCTCCTTTTGGAGTACCTATCTGGACTCTGACTATGCCCAGGTCTGCGCCAATCTTACCTTACTTTTCAGTGGCCAACGAGGTGGCCACCGAAGAATTGATGTTAGCAAGCTGGTTGCAACTTCTGTTGCTAGTAAGTATCAAAACGAGCTGGCTTCTAGGCTAGCTACCATTTCACCGAAAAGTATAGATGAGCTTTGGTTGCAACTGCTTGACGTCAGTTGTGGGTTTGCGAAACGTCCCGCTTATAAGCACTGGGTTTCTTCAGGCTCCTTACAACTCATTGAAGCCCGTCGGTCTACTACGGGTAACCGTGAGATTGACCACAAACGAATGCTATTACGTAATGAAATCAGGCAAAGCTTGCGTAAGGACTGAGAAGCATGGTGGTCGAAGCGTGTTAATGACCTGGAAGCAGCAGCTGCACCAGGTAACTACCGGTAGCTCTTCCAACTCATCCGAGCCACTAGCAGCAAGACGTCTGGTGTGAACGAAACAATCTCTGAGGATGAAAGGATGCCAATCACCAACATCCATCGACGTCTTGGACGATGGGCAGAATTCTTCGAAGTGCAGTTCAACTGGCCTGCTGCTCTGGCAACATCGGTCAGACTATCCTGACCCCCATGACCGGCGACGACTGATCCATCAAATGAGTCGGAAGTCCGCAAGGAACTCCAGCTCTTGAAACGCTACAAATCGACGGGCCCAGATAACTGACCTCCGGCTCTTTTTAAAGATGGTGGTGACTTTCTGACTACGGAACTGATGACGCTGTTTACAAAGGTCTGGGAAGTAGAGAGTGTACCAACGTCATGGAATGAGTCGATAGTTGTCATTATCTTTTAAAAGCATTCACGTCGTTCCTGTGACAACTATCAAGGGATAAATAAAAATAAAATATTTGCAATATCCCAAATTATCAGGGGATAAGTCTACTTTCAATTGCGTCTAAACTATTGGCTTCCTTCATATTTCGTAGGTTGTTCAAAACCCAAGAAAGATTGACTCGCGAGGAGCAGGCTGTGTTTCGTTCTGATCGAGGATGTATTGTTCATATCTTCACTCTCCGCTAAATGTTAGAACATAGTCATACTTATCAAAGGCCAACGATCGTAGTGTTTCTTGACATCAGGGCTGCCTTCGATTCGTTGGACAGGACTGTTCTCTGGGATTGTCTATTGAAGAAGGGTGTGTCTGAGAAGTTTATTAACATCCTACAAGCCCTATACAAAAACACCTCAGGCAGAGTGAGTGCATACAACCACCCATCTCCGTTGTTCCATTCGAGCAGTGGGGTTAGGCAGTGTTGCCCAATCTCACCATTCCTCTTCAACTTCGCCATCGTCGACGTTCTGGAAACAGCTCTGATGGATGTAGGTAATGGCGCTGTGAATCTGCTGCCTGGAGAAAGACTTCTCGACCTTGAGTATGCGTGTGATATTGTCTTACTGTGCGATAATGCCCAAACAATGCAATCCGCACTTAATCGGTTGGCAATCAATGTCCGTAGGTACGGTATGTACTTTGCGCCTTCCAAGTGCAAAGTACTTCTACAAGACTATAAGGATTCTAATCCTGCACTCACCTTGGATGGGGAGCAGATAGAAGTAGTCGAGAAGTTCGTGTACCTAGGTAGCTGCATAAGTGCTGGTGGTGGATTGAGTGTCGAGATCAATGCACGTATAGTGAAAGCTGTCTCCGAAGGATTGCTGACGTCCAGTGGCAACACCATGTCAGTAATGCAGAGGTTCGGCATCGTGTGTTTGGGCACAGAGACGATAATGCAATCGATGTCACCATCTTGAAACACCGACTTCGGTGGCTTGGACATGTTCTCCAAATGTCGTCCCAGAGAATTCCACGTCGTGCATTATTTGTCGACTCTGGGGCTGGTTGGAAGAAGCGGAGAGGTGGTCAGTGCATGACATGGTGTCGTGGCATGAAAGGAAGCTGCATGGGACTGGCTTCTGTCAGTCCTTCAGGACTCCCTGGTTTGGGTCCTAGAGATGGTGCTGCACAGTGGTTAGAGACGTTATCAGATATGTTTCGGGATATAAGACTTGCACGACTTGGTTCTAATGGAAGTGAATTATTTTCGGCTCAACTCTATAATCATCAAAAAACAAAATTCATCGATTATTTGTTGTTTATTGCTATGCTGCTTATCTTCCTTTTTTCTATTTTTACGAGACAACTCGCAGGATGCTTGTATGGAACAACTGACCGTATTCTGAGTCACTGGTCATAAATGTATGTTTGACAAGTCCATTTCTGCACTAGGTGCATTAGATGATACCTCTGACAGATTTTTGTAACAGAAGCTCGGTCAAGAGGCTGACATCTGAAGGCTCGAAGTAGCATATTGGGATCTCCTTTTCAATGAAGATTTAGTTATAAACAGCTGTTGATACAATCTACTTCGTTTTTTATCCACTAATAGTTCATGTAGGGGTGGACATTGACCGTATTAGCTTTTTTTTGTAAATTGCAATTTTATTGCCATTAATCAGTTGTCTTTCTGCATTTGGTAACATACCAACCTAACTGAATAATTACCTGCAGCAGGCCATGCAGCACATTGAAATGGACTACAAGCAGACATCTATCACATAACATATTATTATTTGAGAATAACCTATTATTAACAAATTATATGACATCCGAGAAATCACTCTTTCCTCACGCAAACTTTCAAAAATCGAGGAGATAATATAGCGATTTGAACTGTATAGTGTATATAACTAAGTTAGTTGTAGTCAAAATCATGTTTCTTCAACTTCTAGTTCAGTGGTCTTTCACCTTCGCACATGTTTTTACTTTATTGGTTCTAATCTGCTACTCATCTAGATTCATATGAATCTCGTTCTATATCTAGGATCTGTTCACACGAGATACCGCCTTATAATATATCAACCTGAGTAACTTATTACAGCGAAGCCTGTATCATCTGTGATAATTTTATTTTACGTGTCAACTGGCAAGCCTCATCTAACACTGTCATATGTGAGAAAATTTCAAGTACTAATGCCGAAAAATCAAAAAAATACGTAGAAACCATGGCTAGGTGTAGATTTACTTACGAAAGAGGGTTGGAACACTGCAGCTGTACTTCTTCAAAATGATTGCTTTTGTACATTTAGCGAAGAATGATATATGGTGATGGAGGTTTTACATCATTACCACGAGATAAATTCAAACATACTAGTTAAATCAGATCCGGCCGAACGTTAGAATGCATAAAATTATTTCGTCTAGGGTTACTCTGTACGTATTGTTATCAAAGCTCCTCATAATTACACATTTCAGACACTAGCTATAAGACCAGTTCATGTGACTGTGGAAGCTTCCCTTTGATTATTTATTTGCCTTTAATTTAGTTTGTCACCTAGTCCTGATGGGTTAGACCCACGATTACCGTCATTTCTAGCGGACACTATTTGAGGACCACTGACCATGTTCAATGTGTCTCCCAAACTCAAATTCCTGGGGATCCTGTGGTTAGCCTTATGTCCAAGTATGGAAACACAGATCACGTCCATTCACCAACCCAACAGTTCCACTAGTAAATTAGTCAAGGTATTTAAAGGAATCATTTTTACCAAGTTATTGATTCATATACAATCTGTTATCACCTGAGCAACGCTGATTTTTAAATAAACAACTTTGCGTAATTAACTTTCTAGTTGTAAGAAAGGGTTGGACAGTAGCCAAGGGTAACCATTAGTTTGTGTGATATTCATAAACTGTAACGAAGCACTTAATAAGGTGTCACACACAGGGCTTGTGCAGAAGCTCACAAATCTTAGGATAACTTCGTCTGTGTCTGAGAACAAAAGGTGAGGGCAAGTATGACACCATCCAAATGAAATGATGTACTCCAAAATAACATCTTAGGTTCTCTGTTTTTTCTTCACTGCACTAATGAATTACCGAGACTGCTTAAGTCGTCGATACTGCTGTTTGCGTATGATGGCGATAAGCTGTGAGGTTGATAGTCTTGACTCACAAGCTGATCTAGTCTAACAATCGAGATGACGTAGGAGTTGAGGCACAGAAATCGGCTCTACAAGGAATTTGCTAATGAACATTGTCCATGGTGACGATTACCAAGATACCGTCAATGGCACATGGATATCACGCATGTAGAAAATAAAAGGCCTGCAAGCATTGGCAAGTCCTGATTTGAAAACGACTGGAAATGAAAATGAAGTAGCTCCAAAAAGGTTTTAGGCATCAAGGTCATGTAGCGGTTGATAAATCCCTAAAACCAATACCTCCGTATATCTTCAAAATGTAGTGCTGACCAAATTAGTTTCACTGGACCCACCTAGCTCAAGATGCTCGGTCACGCATCCGCATCACATCATGAGTGCATACGCCGTGCTGTAAATCTTCTACAGCCACCAACCAAGTCGTATTTTGATTGATGAATAAATTACGTGATAACTAGCCAGACTTGAAGTCACAACATGCTTCAGCACTTGAACGTATTCAGCATATGAGAGAATGAAGTTAGCAACATGTTTAAAACTCCTATTATGAGAGCTTAAAACGATTGAAGATTATCCCCTTATTCTAGCAAGCGAGGTGACGTTATATTGACATTTCGTATCTCTAATAATTATCTGGGTGTTAACACGTCTTATCCTCTTGATCTTTTCATGAGTAATAATCTAAAGGGTAACAAAAAGAAGGTTCAAAAACTGCGATCATATGAAGTGAGGATGGGATATAATTATTATGCACATTCTGTGTCCAATGACACCTTAACTCATCGAGTTGTATCAGCTCCAGCAGTGAAGCCGGAGAATTTTCAACTTAAGCAGGAGATAAAATTCTATAATTAGAGCACGCTTACCAGCGTACTATCCTTGTTAACAAAATGATACTTGTTTACCTGTTTCACATAGAATAATGTCATAGTGACATCTTTGACGAATTTCAAAAATGGTTTTTTAGGCGATAACACAATACTGTATACTTAATTTTTTATTTGTACAGAAATCCAAAATGTCTGATGGAAAGGAAGATTTTCATCCCAAAATTAAGCAGAGGGGATATTATACTGATCAATATACTGCAAATCTACCGCGACACTATGACGTATGATTTGAGCTGACATACTATTTTGTTCTAGTTCCAAAACTTAGCCGCAAGTTTAGACCAACATATAATTAACCATAGCAAAAAGAAATGCTTTCTTCCTAATGGTACACTATCATGCTTTATCTTAAATCACTTTTCAGCCGAAGTAGATATTGATGGACCTCTTATGAATTGTACTGAAATTCATGGTCCAACTAGTGAAGTTAACATGTTTGTGGTAACCTGTGTTCTGCTTTTTTTTCAAGCGCAAAGGATTTTCCACCTAGGTCTTTTGATCCGAAAGTCCAAGTTCCTTTTTACACGCCACCAAAACACTGTCCTAGGAAGTTACACATAGAAAGGTATGAAATTGGTTAGTATAAAATCTTTTAAAAAAAATTGCAGGAAGAAAAGGAAGTTTCAAAGTGTATCTATTTCTGAAGTACTGGAGCACAAGTACCATATTCAGCCGAATGAGCTAATGCCAAGATTCATTGAAAAATATTTGGTTGAAAAAAACACATGGACTTCATACTTACCTCTTGAATACTTTGATGATGACCAATATGACTCTCGTACTCCATCAGACTGGCTAGCTCTAGGGATGGATGAAGGAGTGAGAAAACCGATTCCAGCCGTCTGCTTGCTTCCAGTTAATGACCACCAACACAGTCGTATGTAGAAAATAATTTTCCTTTAAGGATTTCTAAGTTCACCTGTTGCTTAACAAACAAAACGCTGTATTTTTTAAGTTATTGTGCTCACTTTTCTGTCATTGTTTTTAACATTTGAATATTTCCAGCTTAGTTGTATTTCTATAGCCTGAAGTGATGAATTAGGCAAACGTACGCATTTTACAAGGGAGTTTGTTAAATTTTAGGTTTTATACAAGAGTTGTACACGAATACGTTTTAACAAACCATGTTAACAATCTAAGAAATGATCTTATCTAGGTGATATGTTATAGGCTTAATCTCATGTAAAATAAAACTATTTAGTTCATGCACTGATACTGTTTTACTGCTTTGAGTACCTATTCACATGTGCACAATCCACTTGCTCATGATGCTAAATTAATGATTCTGGTAACCTTTGGGATCATTTAAAACACATTTCTTAAAGACTCAAATTCAGCAGACAGTGAAATCAACTACTGTATTTCTGTAATTAGTTCTCTTACGACACTTTGTTCTACCTACCAAATGGCATGTACAAAAATTTCCACTTGAACACAAATTTAGCACCAATTTGTTGCTCAACTTCTAAAAAATTAGGTATACTCTGGAACCACAAACGTGGAATTCAAACCGGTGGAGTAAGTTACTTGGTAATTGAACTTAAAAAGGTCTTGAAAAGAATCAAAATAATGTGGCACATATGGCTATTGTAATAATAATGATATGAATTTCGATAGGTTATGCGTTTTTAAAGATCGACTTAAACATCTCAAATGCTTGCTAACACATATTAAATGAGACTAAGACAAGTTTTGGTTATGACTGTAAACAAATATGTATTACGATTCTTATAAAACGTATTTCACAATACTGTAAATATTATCTGTTGTGATATTGTATTGCACTTTGAAAACATAGGGAAAATTTAAACCAAGGGTTTTAGTCTCGCACTAGTTGCACGTAATTTAGGATGATAGAGATAGTCATTATTATTTCACTGAACCTCGACCAAAAATGCAGTCTCCAATTAAAAAGATAAATCACATCCTTTCTACTGAGTTTTATGTGACTGATGGATCTTGAGGTTTTTACCGCAAGCTTTCAGGAAGATTGTGGAAAAACCCCATATTTTAAATGAATCCATAAACTTTTCTAAAACCTTCTACTTCTAACAAATGCTATTTTTTATTCAGTGGATATTCGCAGCCCTGAAATCGAGTGGAAATGGCAGCTAGTTGGGGTACTAGATTACGACGTTCGCTCTAAATTGTGGTTTGTCCAAAAAGTCGACTCTAAAGGTCGGATTATAGATGAAAATGGGGAACGATTAGTAAATGGTGGTGTGTTATCTAGTGGTAAGGTTCTGGAGTTAAATACGCAGTACTGGATTCCTCGTATACAACTTATGTTTCTTGCTGAAGATCCTCAGATTTTTGCCAAACGTGTAGCAACTGCCTTCAAGTGTCGTCAAGAACATGAATCAGCCTTGAGATATAATTTGTATTTGGACTGTATGCCAAATGAAGGCATTGGTGAGCTAAGCAGTGCCGTCTTGAAAAGAATGACATTTCTTGCTAAAGATGAAACATGTACAATCAGAAATAGTAAAGGGTAGGTTGCAATTAAAGAGCAGCATCGTTTTATTCTTATACCATTCTTAAAGGATCGATAGTTTACTGCAAAATCTCGAAAAAGAAGTTACATTTGATTACTGTAGAAGCATGAATGACCTGATTTTGCGCCGACTTTTTGAAAAGCAGGAGACAAAATATCACTTTATTCAACCTTCTGAGATAAAAAAGCTCAAAACTCCATGGAAAGGTAATTCTTTTTTTATTTGCATTTTTGATTTCGAAAGCTACTGACATACATTTTCTTTTGCGTTTGGTCACCTATTTTATTCATATACTAGATATAGCATGATCGCAGTATTAGATAGCAGATAGGTGAATTATTTCCTACATTATTTATATATGTGTGACACAAGTAAAGTAACTATTAGAAGTTCCAGGACGTACCTGTCTCCAGAGAGATTAACAACTCACAAAATGTGGCGAAAATCAATAAGGAAATATAATATCACAAGTCAAAATGTTGTGTAAATATTTGGGCCTTTTTTATGTCAAAATGTTCAGCTTCCCTTAATAATATCTGATGTTGAACTATTACGAACCGAACATATTAACCATGGAATTCGTAGATGACCACTTTAATCTTAAAGCTTAATGATATGTGAACTGTATGAAGTACACTAGTTTAAACAAATTGACTGATGTTATATTATTGCTATGAATAAAATGACTAAGATCAAATTAAATTACACTAGTTACCATTTGCATCATAGTCCACTATTTAAAATTTTTTTTGGGTACTCGGTCTACAGTAACTACCTATTTTTTTAAATAGAAAAACATATGCCTACCAAATGTAAGGTTTATAGAGGACAAAATACTCACGATAATAAAGGATTATTATTATGAAAATAAGAGCAAATGTTCAGAAAACTTTAATTCGACAAGAATGGTGCGATAAATGTGCACCGACTTTAGTTGCCACACTGCATGTTGTAAAGGAGGTAATGAGCAGGAGGAGTGTATATATTTATCACGAAAAGTTGCATATACTACATTGCATATATTACTTATACATAGCCTCCAATCTTGCGTTTGCACCTTTCGGCGTGTTCTGCTGTATGAATCTTCTCATCTGGTCGCCACGTGTAAAACTAACATCATGCTTTTGACATACTGAAACTCTTCGCTCCATCTGACAGTTGTTTCAACTTCGACCTCACGTTACGCTAAACACTACTTACAAACAATCCTGTAAGTAGAGTCCACTACAATATCAATATAGTAGAATCAAATAATAGAAAAAAATACTTAGCCTCAGTGGTAGTCAGAACCAAATGTGCGAAAAAAAAGTTCAGAAAAAAACAAATGAAATCAAGAGATCAAAGAGTACGAGCATTACACTCAAAATATAAGTGACAAAATAAACCATTCCAAGTGTCCTCGATTTAACGTGTTGCAGCCTAGGTTTTTAAAGGATGCATTACTATTGTTTTGCGAATTTTAATCAGGAATTCTAAACTGCCAAATAGAGACTAGGTCAGCAGTTAGCATTTTGATGAACTGATATCATTTCACAGTCTAGCCATTACTCAGTTTGTTTTTTGACCAATCTCTGTATTTTATTCTCGGATATCAACGTACATAGCCATAGATAATGACAGGTCAAACTAATCAATAATATAAAGAAAGCACAACAACTTACCCTACATTATTTGGAAGGCATTATATCAAATAACAATAATGAAATAAGGATGGTCCTGTGTAAAATTTAAACATCTTAGCACTTTAAAGTCTCATTCGTACAATCCCACCAAACCCAAACAATTCAAAATGAGTTATAAACGTCAAATTCTTTCACATTATTATAAGAAATTATTCGAATTATCTTCTTGTGACCATTCAGGACTAAAGATTTATTAGTCTTAGCTGAGAAAGCCTGTGACAAGTTGGCTGTATCGAGATTATTTATTCATAATGCACATGTGCCAATTGAGACTGTTAAAAATTTAGTCCTGAACAAATGGATAATTTAAACCTTTTATGATTGTAGTGTACACAGTGTACTCGTTGAAAAACTGAGTAGCTATCTAAACAAAGTACCTCAGCATATAAAGCTTCGGTATTTGAAGTGAAAAGCATAGTGTTCGAGTCCTATTGAGAATATTAACACAAGAATACTGGTACATTCAGCTAACGAGTCCCAAATAAGATGAAAAGGACATCCTTATTTTTGACATTGACTTCAATAAATCAATTGTAAAAATTTTAATATTATTCTATTTAGATCTATGTACCTGTTAGATGATGATTAAATTTCATATATAATGTCCATTGATTGTTATGAACTGTATTGTTTTGTAAAAAGTTCATTTAATTTACTCATTATTGAAGAGATATCATTAGCTTCAATGATAATATAAACTTACGTACAATTAAGCTATTTATTCTGTTTTAATATAAGTATGATAATCTTTTTTAATGGTAACAGGTACATTAGATATACCGCTATATGATTTTGACAACATATTTCAAAGCTTTTCTTCCAAATCAATGTTAACCAAACCAGAGGCAATTATGGCTATTCGTAAATGTCAGTATGAATGTTTAGAAGTGCGCTCTAAATCAATATTTCATGTTTCATTATCAAAACATATGAGAATTGAAGAATTTGAACAAACACAATCTATGGTTATTTCACAAGTGTCAATATTTTTAAAAGTAAGCCTACGAATTTCACATTTCAAATAAAAGCATAAATTATTTCACGATATCATTAAACTATTGTATATATACTAAATAATAAGTTAAGTAACTCGAAACCACTAATAAAAAGGTAGATTAATATCTTCTTTCTTCCACTTAAATCTATGAAAATTTCTCTTAGAATTATTCGCAAATGTATGCAGCAATTATCCAATAAAAGAACATAGAAAAAATAACGAAATGTTTTGGGTAATCCACAATTAGTGTACATGAGTATTCTGCTCATAATGTCAGCCATATATAGCTATTAGTCTGACAATCACTTGTTAGATTCCTTAACCTGTTCTCTTCAACCAAAAATTACCATTTATTTGTTTGAGCAATTGATTCTAAAATCACTAGAACATGTAACTGAACTTTGGATTCATTTCCTTAGGCTATAGAAATTAAATCATTACCCATTAGAGATATACATGACTAGAAGCCTAGTACGATAATTCACTATCTAAATTTATAAAACTTTTATAAGATTAATTTAATGGATTGCTTCATTTACGAACTGCTAACTTATGTGATTACAAATGGCTTAATACCTGTTCACACCTTTAAATCCATACATAGTTTGTCATGTATTATTAACTGTTCAATACAATGATTGCTTCAAAATAATCCTGTCTTTATGTTCATCAGCACTTGAAATACATTACAAAGTGAAAATAGTTTTTGTTTAGATGAATTTGAAATATTAAACTAGAATGTTGTTTCAGATATCACTAACGAAATAACAAGAAGATATACGAACAGAAACTAAACTTTTAAAAGAAATTTGCCTACGATCAAATTGTTTGTATGAACATAAGTTTGAATTTAATGTGTTTTTTTTAATACCATATAAATGAATGTTAAAAATTCTAGTTATTTAACAATTACTTGACAAATATTTAGCATAAAACTTTTTCCCATTAATTTATATCTACTGAAATATTGGATTTAAGTAGTTTTTAGGAGGATGCATTATGATAAATTTAATTTGTTATGAAAATAACAGATTTAATAGTTTAACGAAAGAAAATAAATTGTTCGAGAAAAATGCGATATATTGTTTAGCCATTTCTTATGATTCACTGACAGTTGTCATCATACTCAGAGAAGTTTCTTAAATAAGAAGAACTTTCGTTTAAATTTGAACGAATAGTTTCACAATATTTGGGCGTCGAGTTAATGTGAGTCATTAAAGAGGAAGAATGTATTTGTAAAATCTCAGCGAAAGAATCTGAAGTAAATCCAAGGTTTCTTTTTTAAAAATAACTTTCGAGATCATAATGAAACAAAAATTGTATTCATTAGTTGTCAGAATTAATTGAAAATGCTTTAAAAACCAAGAAACAATAATGTTAAATATTTAAAATGTTTTTTTCTTAAAAAAATAATGAAGGTGTCTGTTGGGTATTAGCAATTAACAGCAATTGTGAATTATTCTCATCACCATTATATTACGGTCATTTAACAGTGTTTGATTTTAGGGAAACATTCGAATTTTTACTAGAATATTGAGTCGGAACAACACAATTTGTCAACTGTATTATGTTGTTCAAATTTAAGTTTAATAACGTTGTTATAAAATGTCTTGCAAAATCTTTTCTTATGATGTAAACTCGTGATAAAAAAAGTGTTCATTATTGATATACGATGAAATCGAATTATTCACACAAGCACTTCCCTTCAATCATTAGATATCAGAATGACAGACCAAATATTCAGTGAGCGGAGTCATCTTTTTTATTAGCGAAATGATACAGTCGTATAAAGATTATTTGATTTAAAAAAAAATATGAATTATTATCACAATGAACATGATTAAGTGTAAGATATAAATTTTCATTAACCCATAAATTCAACACTTGAATAATAAGATTATATTTTCGCCGGTCCTCTAAGTCAAAACACCACATTGTTTTCACAAGAGTCATCAACAATCTTGCATATTCATAGCAAGAATCAGTAATTTGTTTACTTAAAAATGAAATGAAATTGAAAAGTACAAATTTATTTTAATTGATTAGAAGTGGTCATCCTATCATTATTATTATTATTATTATTATCATTATTATTATTATTGTCATTACATTAATAAGTATAATAATTACTTTTAGTATTACAGTTGGTAAATTCTATAAAGGCAAATTTGTTTTTTTCGTTATTTTAATCAAATAACAAAAACTAAAGTATTATTAATTAGTCGGCAAAACAAGTAACTAAATGAGCAACTGGGAAAGAGGTAAAATTATTTAATTCAATACTAATGGTCGACATATTCTATGTATTTTAAACATATTGATTCAACCTCTTTACTAAAATAAATAATAAATACTACTTATTATCTTTTAATTAAAATTGGTTTTAATGATAAGAATTACGTGCAAATTTTATAGGTATCAATATCTGAATAAGTGGAAGAATTGTGTTTTTGATGTTTCGTGTCTTAATGTAAGTCACTTCGTCAAATCACACAAATAATTGGCTATCTATTTACTTTGATGAAGTGGCTTACATGAAGTCAAGAAACGTTAGAAATGCGATTTTTCTACTCATTCGGATATAATGAACAATATATTTATTAGTTGTAGAGATTTGTTTGATTTGTTGGTTTTATTAAACAACACGTGATCTTAATTAGAACCCCACTGAAGATAAGGAGCACTGGAAAGCTGTTTTGTTCTTGCATGTATGGGACTTAATATAATCTGTTCAGTGCTTTCTAGGCTTTCATGACCTTCATTTAGGATCACCCTTGGAAAAAATAAAATTCACAAACCTGATTTTGCTGAAAGATCTTTTATAACACTAAATTCATAGAGTCCTACGAATCTCATGAAACTAAAATAAATTTCTAAATCAAAATAAAGATACAATATATTTCACTGATACATTGAAATGATGATTTCAGTCATCTTACGCAAAATATTTAAGATCCGATTAGTTTAGGAATGTTTTCTTTGTCATCGATTCTTAGCTTACTTTATTTCCATTGTTTTTCATATTTCTTGGTGGGTTTTTCCCATTGTTTTCAATCCAAGTTTGTCCACTGATGAAATATATTATATATTTTCATAGTATTCTGCTCTGACTTATCGATAAAAATGGATAAATACACTTATACATATAATAATTTCAAAGTCTAACAGTCTGTTTATTCATTAACTTCGACACATTTATCACGGTAAATAAATACAACGCTATAGATCTGCAATGAGAAAATGATTTTATCTGTTACAGATATACAGTAATATCCCATGTGGAAATTCAGAGAATAAAAACCGTACATTAATCAGGTGTTAATAGAATTTACGTGTTATAATCTTTAACTGGTACAAACATTGAACAGTTTGCTTTATGTTTCAAACCATCAAATATACAGTTATGTGTTTCAAAATATAAATTATAGCATGTGCACATTAACAATCTCCCAATTAATTTTTGCCTGATGATTTATTAGAAAATAGACAAAGATTCATAATTGATTAATTATAAGTAACTCCACATATAACAGTGCCATTTTTTACTGAAGGGACGGAGTGATCATCAGTGTGATTCTTTTCACAATAATGATTAGACTGCAAAAAAGGATCAATTAGTTCCGTGGCATGTTATGCCCATTATATTCAAAGTATCTAGATTTTCATTGGTAAAGAACTATTAAATCTAATAAAGTTTTACAAATTACGTAACGGAAAAATTTATCGCAGGTTCAAGAAATGACAAGAAATTACTTAAACTAGGAAAATTACGAAAATATTAAATGTTGGTTACTTTAAACTTTATATAAATGTCTTCTAGTTAAATGTATGGTTTGAATAATGTTTTCTGGTTAGCGTTTTTTCATCGAGTTAGTTTTCTACGGGATGGGGTCGCTAACCCCATGCCCAACCCTCCTCCTTTATCCAGGCTTGGGACCGGCAATAGCCCCCGGAAGGAATCCAGGCGGAGTTAGTTAAATGTATGACACTTGATAAATTAGTCTTGTTACAAATGCTATGACGAATGATAAACCGAGCTGATAAACTATCATTCTCTATTACATATCGCTAAAATTAACATACTTAAACTATTAGGCCGAGAAATTTCAATACAATTATGGCGCTCACCTGAGATGTAAACTAACAAGAAATGTTTTGAATTTAGAAAGAAAAATTAATGAAATTTGAAAGGAAAAACTCCAATGGAAATATATGTGACATAAATTCCTCATTCATTTTAAAGAATAGTGTATTAGAATTAATGGTTAAATGTTTCAATTATACATCATAACTAAAAAAAGAAAAATATCCCTTATGTTATTCATCTTTTATTTCTTTTTATAGGATGCATGGATTGAAAGTCTACGAAAACACATTCGTACATGTTTTCGTGATACTGGGAAAGGATGGTTTAATATATATGAAACAGATTTCTATGTATATACCCAATCGAAATTAAAAAAATTTATGGAAATGATGAAATTTTGTATGCAAGATGGATTAAGATATTTAATAATGGATTCATTAATTAATTTTACAAATATGCTACGTGATTCATGTATTGCTTGTTTAAATATTCCAAATGAATATGAATGGACAAATGATCTTATGACAAGTAGTCTACTGTATGTTTGACTTTTATGTATTTTATATATCTTTCTGTTAATTATCTGTCATTGTCAAATATAGTTAATATATGAATTCAAAAAGTTAGTAATAAGTAGTTGAAAGATTTAATTTTTCATCATATCTTATTGTTAAACTATTAATCTGTTAGCCAAAATAAATAACACGATTGGGTTTAATAATAATGAATTGGGGAAAGTGTATGGTAGTTGGCTTATTATTAATGGAGGATTGTGTGCTTTGATTTACAAAATGGGAATCAAGAATGATTGTTTTTAATATAAATTAAAATGAATTGTGGATCAGTCAGTTAGTTCATCATAAATCATAAAGAATCTGGGACATGTATGCATCAGATAGTGCCGCAATAGCATATCAAATATAGCGAGATGACACAAACCGGAATAATAGAAATAATAACAATATCAGTAGTATTCAAAAATATTAGGTATCGATATAATCATTCGAGAATAGTGAATGAATTGATAGGATAAATGGTATAAGATAATTTGAGAACTTAAGAACTACGAGAAGAGAATGAGTGAATTCATCTGTACCAATGTGAGTTATTTAGAACCTAATTGACCAGCATCTTGAAGTTGTTGCAGTTATTGTGTGAGCAGAATCGAATCACATTGTATGTACCTACCAAAAGTTTGGTAGACGGTAGTTTGGCAAATATGATAAACTTTCCAACGACTTCAGTAGATGACGATTCATTACCCGGTCGACTGATTTACTATTATTACTTAATACCCTGTGTATGATCGTAGTATTCCTAATTTGGTGATCCGAATATACTCGAGCAATGTTTCGAATAGGGATCTACAAATATCCTCTATTTTTAAGGGCAACCACTTGAGCTGCCCCGGTTCAAAAATACTAAAAATGTACTGCTCATCACTTAAATGTCCACAAAATAAATTGCAATTTCAATAACATAAAAAGCAGTTTTATATCATACTGTTACACACTTTCACTGTATTCTATTTTGTTTTGCTTTTTATATAATTCTTCTCATTGAATTTGGACTAGTCCAAAAAAGAATCCTATATTTTTAGTCGATTTACTATTGGATACAGATGGACCACACTATAGTACACCGATTACACAATTTCCTAATATTCTTATACAGATATTTGATAAAGCTATCAATTCAGTACAAGATGTACCACAAATTGAACAAGTAAATTCGTTTATTTATCCAATTGCTTTTACTGTTAATTTAATTTGAGTTTTATACATTATTTAAATTAAACCGATACTTTGAATGTAAATACAAGCTTGTAACAAATTGAAATACTAATTATAAGCAGAGATGGATAGTGGCTAGCAGTGGGATCCAGGACGCGCGTTTCGTCCTGTTTGGGACTCGTCAGCTGGATGTACCTGCATCTCAGAGTTGATGTACACTCTGGGACTCGAACTCAGTACCGTTCGCTTCAAACGCCATCGCGTTATCCACTTAACTATTGAGTCCTGATAGCCACTTGCTTGTGCAATGGGGTGAAGTTTAATTCACTTGATATTGTTTTATTTGAATCTTCCCATTGAGAGACTGATCAACTTCAGTCCTAAAACATCAATGGGAAGATTCAAATAAAACAATATCAAGTGAATTGAAATACTAATGTTATTTCGATTATTCTTCTCAATTTATTATATGTAGTATATACTTATTATCAAATATACAATAGTTAAATATTGACTTTGATTGTGAAATGTATGTTTTACATAAATTTCATAATTTTTCAGAAGATGAAATTGTTGAAAGTTCTGCAATTTAGTTTTAAACGGTTGATCTATTTAGATTTTCAAATTTTGATCATTACGTAACAAATCTCATAGAATTCAATCACATAATTCTTCAAACTTCTTTAAAGCTCGATTGATCTTTTGTAAAAATTAGTTAAACCATTGACCGTATATTCGATATCTTTGAAATGACAATATGGAAATACTTTAATTTACTACTTGTAAACACTAGTCATAATATGATACTATTAGTTTTCAAATACATTTTGTAGGAATCACTTATCCAGAGATTACACAATTATTACGCAGTGCAGGAATTTACTCTGGTTTACTTTATGATGGATGACATTGAAGAGGGATGAGAAAGTATCTCACGAAGTTGAAGACATTTATCGATAACTAAACAGTTTTAACGCTTAGTCAGATGATTAATGTTTATTTTGACGTTCGATACCAGTTAACAACTGTGTAAATCTAAGTAGAACTGAGTTGTTAGGTCAAGTTATGTATGGTTAAAAACTGTTGAGCATTCAAAGGAAAATTTCTTTATTCAATTAATGAGTCTCTGATTTTGATTTTTCATCTAGAATTTCAATTTATTCAAAATACACTTTGAATGTGTTTAGTATGTTATAGAAGGTATAACCTGTGTAGAGAAACAACTTTTGGAAGCTGTTGGACTACGTGAACCACAGGTTGAAAGACTCCGTCAACAATGCAAAGAATATATTAATTTAGCTTTAATACCAATGAGAGCTTATGCTAAACAATATGAACGTTTTATGGAACTTACAATTTTGGATATAACTGCGCATTTGAAGTAAGTTGTAATTTTATATTTGAATATTGTATGAATTTTGTAGATATTAAACTGAATTTATAAATTATCTACTCAGAAAAAAATAAATCTTTTTCCCTTCGTTAGTAGTTAATGGGTAGAGATTAGACCATAACTTTATAAAATTACGTGAAACTGATGACGTATGGGCAACATTTTAACTAATCGTGAATCAAGTGAGCAGTAAAAAGTGAAAAACAAAATTTTTATAAGAAGACAAGGTGGTATGTTAAAAGATAAAGATTAGGTCAGAGTACACTGTAAACTCATGATGTAATTTCGATGTAAGAATGCATGGATTTAAATTTAAAAACTAAAATTCAGGATTGCTAACGGTATTATATACATTGATTTCAACTCATACAAATGATGTTATTTTTTATAAAATGCTTTGTACTATTGAAATCGTGAACTGTTCACCATTAAAAACCTTGAGTCAATCCGTCAGTAACAACGTAGAACCTTGTAAGTACGTAAATCAGTTCAAGTTGCCATACCACATTAGCACAGAGGTGCAGTTGTTTATTAAAGGCCTTGAAGTACTGGATGATCTTTTCACCCGAGTCTGAGCCTCTACGCATCTACGATCTAGCACGTGGGGTTCGAACCCAGGGGTTTTGATCTCTCGCGCGAACGCTTAACCTCAAGATCACTGACCAAACTCCAAGGGTTAGATATTGACACAGTTGGATGCTGGCTCGGAATCTAGTCATAAATGAACATTCAAAAATCCCATTTCTGTGAAAATGTAAGTTTCAATGGTCACAAGGAATTGTCCTGGGTGTAATCCCTGGTGGGACTGTAGATGAACACTAATGAATGATCTCAAACTAAACACAACAGCTGGAAGATATATGTATGCTTGAGTAATAAATAATAGTTTTATATACTATATTTCATTTACACCCCAATCAGAGCTTCCTGTGTACCTACAGTCTACTACTGAACATTGATCTTTGTGTTTCAATAAATTCATGCTCAACCATATTTCACATGTTTTATCTACACACATATTATTTTTTTTAATAGAGTGTATGAATCAAAAAATCTAGGTGTCTTAGAAATAAAGCAACAAATTGAAAAATATTTACAAGAAAAAGAAACTGTGGAACAAATTATACCAAGCTTTATTATAATTGGTCCATTCTATGTAAATACTGAACCTGTAAGACAAAATTTATCAAAGAAATATAAAGCATTAGTTAGTGCTTTATTAGAATTATTAGCCAAGCAATTAAGGAAACAAGCTGATACAGTAAGTCTGGGTTATTTTTTAGAAGGTGAACAAATAATAATTGACAGATAATTATTGTAACGTTTTGATATAAGTTGATGAATCAACGTAACATGTGCAATATTGAACATATGTTTAGTGTTATTTGAAGCTTCTCAACCGTGCCCATCCTCGATCTCTTAAGGAATGGAATATAAGACCTTCAGGTTTCATATTGAAGATATTTACATTTAATCTCCTGATTCAGCGTTACATGATCTGCATTTCGAATTTCATTTGATATTTCATATAGCGTCACAAGTATTTAGTATCATATCCTACTCTGGGAAGTGATGAAACTTTGCTATTCATAGCTTCCTACTGAATCTTCCGGAATTTGTCTTGAAACTAATCACTAACAATTATATGTTTATGGCTTTTAGTGCCCTGATGAACATGCTGAACAATGTCTCGCAATTAAACACTTTATTGTCATTTACAGAACGTTAAAATTTTTGTTAAGTTGTTTTGAATGCATTCAATATTCCAATTTCATTTCAAAACAATAGTTCATTTCATATATATTATACATGTCACTATAAGATTTCAGAAGAATTGAAAAGTATTGCTATGAAATTATATGAAAAACCGAATTCAATAGAAGAATTAACTGATCTACGTGAATGGATTTCTACAGTACCAGATAAATTGGAAGAACGTCAAGAATATATCGATAAGGCAGTGTCTGATTATGAGTTAATTGATTTATTCTTTTATAATTTATCAGCTGAAGATTTCAATGCAAAGTACGTTAGTTGTGTTTCGTGTTTTTTTGATTTTATAAGTTTCTATTATTACTTGATGATATTCTTAGTTAAATTGACATTTTAAATAACATTTGTCACCACAAATTCCATGTACATCTATATGATGGGATGAAGAGGCAAAATCACATGTTTAATTCATTATGATTTTTGTTCAGCATTACTTCCGCTCTAATTCTATGTAATGATTGATTACTCAGTGTAATATTTATTTTAGTTTCCAATATGATATTTTATTCGATATAACAATAATTTATTTGAGTGTGATGTTTGTTGAAGATAAGATATACTTGTATTACATTAAAATGAATTATACTCAGCATGACATGCAGTGTGAGATTTTTCGATAATTTCAGATATATGACTTTTACGAATTAACGATCAAATGTGTATTCAAATCAGTATATAAATGAGTACATTTTCGACTAGAGAGGTCATCGTGTTTTGATTTTAAAAACCTTCACTTGTACCAATCTTCTTCTGTATTCTTACTTTAAGTCGCTAGGATTCAAAATGTTCCTTGTTTTTCAAAGTAATGAACGATGTGGACAAAACAGCCTTACTTATAAGTGCTATGTTCATGACTACTTCCGGACACTTTACATTTGCGTCTATTCACAAAATTATTAAAACACGAATTTCAGCGAAGGGATCTCTTTTCAACGAATTTATTATCAAGCAGTACAATAGTATATATATGAAAGTTTTTATAAAAGTACTAATTCTGTGAGGAAATGTGAACACAGTTAATAAAAAGGTTATAATACTAGATTACGTAATATGAATAATAATAATAACAATAGATTTAGTGATTATAATAAGATGATTAAGATGTTTTTCTTATAATAATTAAAGGTCATAGAGGTGTACAAAAATAAAGTGATATGATGAGCGTTCACGAATAAAACAATGAGAATATAAGACATAAGTAAAGGGCGGAATACAGTAATAATAATAATAATAATAATAATAATAATAATAATAATAATAATAATAGGATAATCAAAATGCTTAAGGCTAAGGTAACGATAACGATAAGACGTACTTCTTTTGTACGCATAGTTCTGGTTTAAGCTCCTGGATGGTAAAAGCTTCGGCTATTTTTTAAAGTTGGATGCGAAGAAATCTGGGTAGATTTGAACGAATCATATAAACAACCTTAAATTCATTTCTTGGATCAGTGGAATGGTTACAGTCGATTAGGAGTATAGAACTCCTAACTGCTTTCCTTTCACCCTTATAGAACCAAGCCGGGATATGTTCCCGTATCCGAGTTGAAAGCGAGCGCTGGCTACGGACAATATACCTTGCTCCACAAGAGCAGGTGAACTGGTAGATGCACATAGAGGCGACCAGACGCGGAAGCTTGTCTTTTATGGACACGGAAACTAAGTTCCTACTCGTGAAGTTTATTCGCAATTTAGCTGCATTAAATGTTCGTCTAATAGTTGTTGTTAGACGATTTTCGATTACTTCTGATGTTCGATCACCTTTAAATTCCAGACTTATATAAAGGTTTTTCTTTACGTATATTCACAAAATTATTCATAAATTTTAGGATGTATTTTGCTGTTTTATTATTGAATTATTTTGATAACGATCAGTGACCGAGTGAAAACTTTGTTAATTAATTATCATAAGATATTACAATTCATTAAACAAAACATTTTCATGCATCACGAATCTTTGTAATTCGCTGAGATTTTCTAAATTGAAGGTATCTGAAATTGAAGGATATGTTCAAATTCTCCATATATGACCTAATATTTATATGGAATAATTATTCATTTCGATGAATTAAAGCAGCGATCGACAACGGATTCATTTCATTTTTACATCGTTGAAACTGTGTATAACGCATTGTATAGAAATGTTCGATTATTTCGATATAAAGCTCACGAATCTATAGTTGTAGTATCTGAGATAAACTTTACTGTAAAACACTTTTTGGGTTATTATATTCTCTAGTCTTCAATTCATTTGAAGTTATTAATGTATATCTCTAACATTTATTACTGTCCAATGACCAATCGATACGTAAGTTTTGTTCCCACTATAGATCATTTATGTCCTTAGTAGATCAGACCTAACCTGAGTGACTGGGGTTTAAATCCGTCAAGAGCATCTGTCCCATAAAGATCACAGATAGCCTTTATTAATAAATCTCAACTTGTAGAAAAACTAGATTCAAGATATCCTGTCAGTTAGTCTCAACCACTGAAAATACTGAAGAAGTTCTTATTTATGTACAGATTTATTGGTAGAAATTTGTGTTTTATAGAAACTTCATATTTCATTACTGTTAATAACCTATAGATGGACTACAATTAGTTGGCCTCATAAAATTAGACAAATAATTATTCAAGTTGAAAAAAACCTAGAAGAAGATGAAGAACGTTTTAAGAAATTGCAAATTTCTGAATCTTCTTCATTCGCTGATAAGATTGATACACTAACGGTAAGCACTGTTTAGATAATTTGATGAAGGGAATATAGAATAAATACAAAGGCTAAACGATATTTGTAAAACTACATAAATTTTATTTATTAGATGCATAATTTCAAGCCGATTTTTATTACGAACTGACACCAATGAGAAAGTTATTGCAAACTAGACAAACTGGGAAATCTTTCTATGGCCATAAGGCCATGTCATGTTAAATAATAAATTTGGTAAGGAAATATCTGAATAAAGAGGAACATTCGCTTAATGCCACTATATTTTCACTGGTATTCCAAGTGATATCTCTTTGCTTTAGAACAGTTATAAATCTCTGTAAATCAGCTAGTCAAACATTAGTGCTTCTCTCTTGAAGAAAAGAATACGTTTTTATGTTCGTGGGTGAGTAATCAATATCAAAGTGAGAATGCACGCCAACTTTCAATGGTTTTCTTCTGATGACTGAAACTTAAATTACTCAAATCCACAACTAGACGAGTTAGTGTTAAGTCGTTCGAACCCAAACTATTTATTTGCATGGTTCAGTTGAATAGTCATCTATGACTCCACTGGGGATCAGACCAAGGACCTTCTGTCTCATCAGTAGCGTTTAGTCTTTTATCTCTTCGATTGGCGTCCAGTAGTGTACATGTTTAAATTTAATTCTTCTAAGATATTGCGCGACCATGTTTGATTGCCCGCAGTGGATAACTATCTCATACTCGACGTGAATGGACTTCGCTGGTCACAAGTACGAAATTGGTCATGAGTGAATACATGATAAATGATTTGCGGAGATTGAATGACAATTGAAAGGTGTAAAGGTTAGACGCTCCGGATGAGATCGAAGATCCCTATTTTGGTCCCCAGTGGAGTCATGGATGTGCAGTCAAGAGTCCAACATTAGTGCAAAACAGCTACCCACTACTTCTTGATTTTCTATGATGGTCTAATTATGATCAATACATGATTTAGATAATAAAAATTCAAATTATTTAATTAATTCACAACATGACTGCCATTTTACGAAATACTATTATCAAGCATATAAAACAGATTTTTACTTGCAATACAACTTTATTGTGTAATTATTTCGAAAATAAACAATTCCTTTAACAAGATATTGTATCCTTTGAATTAAGTACTACTGGTAAACAATCCAATCTAACGTGACTAGTTAGTCCAAACTTGTGTAATTATCTTAGAGTCAAACCAATCACATGTAATGTTTGTTTAACTGAATGTGATTATATACCATCGTTTTCACTAGTCAAAAGTTAACTGTCTTTAGTCCCAATCATCTGTAATAGTTATTTGAAACTGAGAAACGCAATTAAATCTTGAGATACACTGCCACTTTGATTTGTAGAAGTTGACATTTTTCACAGCTAAAATCTAATTTGAATTCATACGTAGACTATTAACTAATAAAATAATGAGTTCATAATGTATCATTCATCAAGACTATCGATTTCGATTCACTTAAACAAGTGGTCATTTAGTGCCAAGGTTATGGGTAGGGTACTAGACGAAACTAGTAAATCAGTCGGTGAGATCATGAATTTTTATTGAAAAAGTGGTTCGAGCATGTGTTTGTACGAAAACCATCTGTATTGTCAGTCCAATGTTAGCTGAAAAAAGGAACGAGTCGGAAGAAAGCTAAGAGCAGCTGAATGAAGATACGATATCAATTCATTGAGAATTGATCTGAGCCATGTTATTAGTTTCGAAATGCATGTCTGTGATTTCCCAATAATCGTGATCAGTGGTTGAAGACTTTGGGTAATGTCATGGGTCAGACAAATTCATTATTTGTTTTCTTCTAGCTATTGTGTCCTGTTATTCCTTCATACACACAATATCATTCTATCATTTTAAACCATATTTCCATTGTTTAATCTCTTTAATTACCATTGTCATTATATTATTTTGACTCCCTCATCATTTATTTCATTATTTTGATCTTACTCAGATGATGTGGTATATCGAATCGACTCAACTCATATCTGAGTCATATCCAACGTTGATTGTTACTCATTAACGTGGTCATTTGTGTAAATTATAACTGTACACTTTTGTTTCTCTTCAATTATTCTGATTTTTTTAAAAATCTAAAGATGATGGTCTCATCGATGGCATCATATTCAGAGATTGGTAAAGCACAAGAAGTTGCCAATGAAGTTCGTCGTATTTATAAACAATTACTGGATGCTCAAAATATGGGTGGTTTATTAAACAGTCGTGAACGTCTGTTTGGTTTGCCTAATACAAATGTAAATTATTTGTTATATCACTTAGAATATTCACTTTATTTTGATATATAGGATTTTAAATTTTAGTTAAATTATTACAATAAACAGATTATAAAATAAATTATTTATGGCTTATTCTAAGATTGGTAACTAATGAATAATGAATGTGAAATGAAATTAGCAAAGTTGAAATTTCACAAAATAGTCCAATTATTCATCAGCGAGAAATCGGTAAATCTCACTGTCTGGAATTCGATGTTAGCAAACGATCAATGCCATAAATTAGGCGTGGAAAATAAATTCAGATATTTATAGTAGTTTGACAGAAAGATAACCAATTCGAATTAACCGGAGTATATGTGTGGTGTATGCTACTTATGTTGAGAGATATAAGTAGTATGTAACATCAATCAGGAGTGGAATCCCTTGCGGCAGAAGATTGAGAATATCGAATTGAAGGGAGCAGGAAGAGGAACAATTGTAATAGCAACAGAATTGAAAGAATCATGGAGCATATGAAGGAAAGCTAAAGGAAGATATGCAAATAATGTATTTAATGTATGGTTTTGATATATAGGAAAGCATTCCGTAATTTTGTGTGAAACTATAAAGCGGTTTACCTCACCTGAGTTCTCGTTCACCACATACTCGGCGCAGTCATATAAAGTAAAAAGTTGACTCAGTTTTAAATTCAGAATTATTCGAAAACATTATGGATAGATAATAAATCTTGAAGCCCGGGTCCCTAATATGTGTGTGATCATCTGACAAAAACTGGTCTGTGACTACTACCAATTAATATTTACCAACCAAAACTAGGAAATTTCATAAAGTTCCGAACTCAACATTCTCAAAGAACATTGAAAGCATCATGGGCAATTTTAATCATTATATATTTCCTAATTTCATTTCAATCCTCTTTTTGCCGTTTTATTTTGAAATAGTATGAAAACATACCACGATTATTAAAAGATTTTGAACCATTTAAAAATTTATGGTTGAATGTCGCAGACTGGATGAAAACACAAGAGGCTGTCATGAATGATCCTCTTATATCGATTGATGCTGACAGTGTAGAGAAAGTAATTGTTGAATGTTATAAAACAATGCATAAATCTGTAAGAATATTTCATGAACTACCCAATATACAAGAATTAGCTAATCAAGTTAAATTGTCAATAGAAGAATTTAAACCACACCTACCATTAATACAAAGCTTACGTAATCCAGGTATGCGTCAAAGACATTGGGAACAATTAAGTGAAGAACTTGGTGTAAGCATCGTGCCAAAAACTAGTTTGACATTTTCAAAGTGTTTAGAAATGCATCTTCAGGTAAATACAATGTTCAGTATTCTGTATTAAACTTATACTATTTTTAATTTAAATACTATCAAAATGTGACCAATATCAAATAGTCGTACCACATCATCACTGAATCTAACTATTAGAACTTGTTAATCAGAGTATTTCAAATCCATTACATTCCATAAATACTATTAATCGTTATTTACTTTGTGCTTTTTGTATATTGTGACTCTCTTTTGAAATAATGAAAGGATACTTTACAGTGTGGTATGTCATTTACATGTAGAGGAATCACGATGCCAATGTATATGAAACCAGGACTGATAAATGAACTAAGAAATTTCAGCTATTAATGATAACGGAAAAAAAAAGAACTCTTAAAACCTTGATTTTTAACAGAAATAACTATAATACTTTCTTGTACACGCAAACCCATAACAGTTTTTAAAAAATCCGCGTTCAGTATTCAAAAAACAGAAATATTTGAACGAACGATTGTTTTCAATAACCTCATCAGTAGACTCTTCAGTTTACAATCTGAATTGGCCAGATTAAGGCATACATAAAAAGTGAATTAAACAGTGTTTTAAGTTCAATTGCGAACATTTTCATTCGTTAAGGCCTCGACATGTCCGAAATGTGTTATTTATGAGTTTAAAAGCTCAGTTAACAAGGGGTGAGGAAAATCCCTTATAAAATAACGAGGTTCAAGTGACAAATAAAATAAGTGACGTGGAATTATTTTATGATGGGAAGAATTTTGGGTTACTTAAAATAATAATAACGTTATGTGATTATAATATATAACAAAAAAAGGTCTTCTCATGGTGATTATAATATGAAACTCTTGTAAAATGAGAAAGGTGAGTGCGTAAATTAGGAATTGGGTACGGTGGAGATAAACATTAGAGGAAACTAAAGAGATGAGAGTTGATAAGATGTGCGTTATATATGGGATAACACGATAGTTTATCATGGTAGGCGGAGAAACTGAATTTACTTCTTTTAGTTGATACATTTCTATTTTCCAGAGTTGTTCTTGAAGGCGTCAGTTATGTAGAGGGGCTTGTCTCCTCAGGTAAACCGTTCTAGACTTAATACAAGACCGAAGTTTCCTCTTCCAAGTAGGAAATGATGGGTTATGAATAGATCTAGGTGGCCACTTTTACAGACGATATCATTACGTGTTAACAAGCGCAAACTTGCAAAACACAATAAACTGGATATATAACTGATTAATCGGTAAAAAATGCAAAGACAACCGATATTCATCTTTTCTGATTTTCAAACATTTATGATTACTCAATATGTGATTAATGTGAAGTTAAGGCAACTCTGAACTCGGAATGACATTGAGATCTTTCATTTTAGAGTGTAAATTTCTAGAATTACTCAATTTCCATTCAGTTTTATAAAGCATTTAGAACAATGAACTTACGCAGTGGACTTTAGCCAATGAAATAACTGAGTATTTTCCAACAATTTGGTAATGATTTTGCATTTAGATATCGGTTCGTTTCCGAGTAATTATGACTGCTTAAGATGAAAGGAAGAAATTCCTTATTTTGTGTTGGAAAGTATTATGATAATCGGAAGTATTTGAATTATAGTACAAGCTAAGAATCCCAGAAATAACTTAATTGGATCAAGAACTACTAGATAACCACAAACGAATGTACTGTATTTAGAATTCCAAATCAAGCACTCAACAAGTACAAAGGTATCATTAGTTCATCGAAACACCACAATTATGTCAACTCGTTTAGATATAAGAATGAAAACTAACCTTGAAAACTCAAGAATTTACCATAAACAACGAAAAACTAGGAATATGAACTAGTGATTTCCTAAAAATTGGTCTAACGATAATTGGCTTATCGTAGCATCATAAAGATATACGGTTGAAATCTTATTGCATTGATTGATGATAATTCTGAGTTATAATAAAGTCTCTATGAAAGCTTTCTTGACTGTCATCAGTATTTAGCTGATGCATGTTTACAATAGGAAAATTTATTTCCAAATAAGTAATTTTTAAAATTTTTTAATCTTGAAACTACCGTCAAAGCGATGGATTGCATTAGAACAGTGACCACTTTACATTTACAGTGTAGGGGTTTTAGAAATCATATACATTTTCATTGTTATTAAATCACAAATCAACCTTAGCTAGACCACCACTGAAAAAATAGAGACACAGAACGGCACCCACGACACCGTACCCACAAATCGAACGTGGGGCGTCGGACTCTAGTTCACTGAGCCGGCATCCAACCGTGTAAATAGCTTCGATTCAAATTGTTGAACGGTCATGTTACACGGCTTTTGGGGGATAACTGTCTCATTCAAACATAGTCGAATTCTAGTGGTTTCAGTTTGGCACGAGAACACCTTGACGCTAGTTTTTAGGACACATATGATTTCTATCAGTATAAGGTTTTGTGAAGACCACAGAATTTTCATAGTTGTAATCATGAATCATTTTTTATTTACTGAACTTAAATGAATTATAGCTTTGTCTTCAATATTTTATTCATCATGGTTTGTTTTTATTAAATAGGATAACATTGATATTATATCAAAAATAGCTGACATTGCTGGTAAAGAATATTCTATTGAAAGTGCTTTAAATAAAATGATGAATGATTGGGAGTCTGTCAAATTTGATGTAATTCCATATAAAGATACAGGAACATATATTATTAAAATAGCTGATGAAGTTAATCAATTATTAGACGATCATATTGTTATGACACAATCTATGAATTTTTCACCATATAAAAAACCATTTGAAGAACGTATATCTCATTGGGAAAATAAGCTACATTTAACGCAAGATGTATTAGATGAATGGGTCACATGTCAAAGACAATGGTTATATTTAGAACCAATATTTAATTCTGAAGATATTAACCGACAGTTGCCACTTGAAAGTAAACGTTATGCTACAATGGATCGTATATGGCGAAAAGTAATGAAATCGGCTTCAGAACAATCACAAGTGATCACATTATGCCCTGATACACGTTTATTAAATGGTCTACGTGAATGCAATCGTTTATTGGAACAAGTTCAGAAAGGTTTAAGCGAGTATTTAGAAACTAAACGTCAAGCATTTCCAAGATTTTATTTCTTATCTGATGATGAATTACTGGAAATATTATCACAAACCAAAGATCCAAAAGCTGTTCAACCACATTTAAGAAAATGTTTTGAAAATATTGCAAAAGTAAGTTCGTCATTGATTTTTACTTCCCTTCTCATAGTGTTTAATACATATATAAGAAAGTCTTCACATGGATCTCTTAGATTCGTAACAGTCATCGTTCAATTGTCTTCCCCTAATGTGTTACACTATTCATTTGATTTAAATTTATCCATCATCGGTTTGATACAGTAAGAAACTGATATTTCTACAAAAAAAATATGTAAACCAAATAGTTCATTATTTGACTGAATTCGATGATCCTAGTAGCATTAGCTTATATAAATATAATTTTAAGTAGAAATTACTAGCCAAGTGCTGTTCATTCACAATAAGTTAAACGTTACATATCATCTGAATTACATTTATCTGGTCCGTGAGTAAAAACGCAAAGTACATTTATTGATTATTTATAGTTTAGTAAGAGGAAAAACACTTGATAAAAAAATACTGAGAAAACAATTGATTGACGGATATTTATGTCATGTAAGGTCTAAAATCTAAGTAAATAACTCTTTTGATATGAATAACTTTTACCTTTTATTCTGTGAATTCATTATTTCTTCCTGAATCATATCGTCTGTGCTTAGTCTTTCCTATCACACTCACGGACTCTGTTAGTAATTCTACTAGTCAAGCATTTCTCATAATGCTGATATAATATAGCAACTTGAACCGATGCACACATATTCCAAGTTCTACATTTCACATGGCTAAGTAATATCATTCAAAATCCATATGATGTTGTAGTTACGTCACCTAATTGGCTTAATGGATATGTTCATCGCACATTACTTAGTAACTACAACTCTGTTTATAGGATTTGTGATTACTGCTGTATGCACTATGTCAATTAAACTTTATACGTTTTGAATTCGTTTTACGCTTCATACTATTAATAATTCAGTCAAGGTTTTACATTTTCATAAAAATTACAGTTATGATAACGATTTATTGTTTTAATTATTATTTTACAATTTTATCATCTTTAAAAATAAATAAACATCCAGTTACAATTTGAAAAAGACCTACAAATAACAGCTATGTTTTCTGGTGAAGGTGAATGTGTGAAATTTGAAAAAACTACTTATCCAACATCAAATGTTGAAGAATGGATGTTAGAAATTGAGAATTTAATGAGATATTCAATAAGAACTATAATTGGTAAATCTATTAAAGCTTATGCTGATACACCACGTACTGATTGGGTATTACAATGGCCTGGACAAATTATTATTGCAGTTTGTCAAACATATTGGACAACTGAAGTAACTGAAGCAATTTGTACTAATAAAATGAATGAGCTTTATTCAAATTTATTAAAACAATTAGATGGTCTACGTAATCTTGTACGTAGTGATTTAACTAAAATTGGTCGAATGACTTTATCTGCATTAATTGTGATTGAAGTACATGCACGTGATGTTGTTGCAAAAATTATTGAAGAAGGTGTACATAATGTGAATGATTTTGAATGGATAAGTCAACTACGTTATTATTGGAAAAATGATGAAGAACAATTAAAACTTCGTGCTGTAAATGCTGAGTTTAATTATGGTTATGAATATTTAGGCAATACAACACGTTTAGTTATTACACCATTAACTGATCGTTGTTATCTTACACTGACTGGTGCATTACATTTAAAATTTGGTGGTGCACCAGCTGGTCCAGCCGGTACAGGTAAAACAGAGACAACAAAAGATTTAGGCAAAGCATTTGCTATACAATGCGTTGTGTTCAACTGTTCTGATCAATTAGATTTTATGGCTATGGGAAAATTTTTCAAAGGTTTAGCATCAGCTGGTGCATGGGCATGTTTCGATGAATTCAATCGTATTGATATTGAAGTTTTATCGGTTGTTGCACAACAAATTACAACTATACAAAAGGCACAACAACAGCATTTAACACGTTTCCTATTTGAAGGTGATGATTTAGAACTGAAACCATCATGTGCTGTGTTTATTACAATGAATCCCGGTTATGCTGGACGTACTGAATTGCCGGATAATTTAAAAGCATTATTTCGACCAGTTGCAATGATGGTACCAGATTATGCATTGATTGCAGAAATTTCATTATTTTCCTTCGGTTTTACAGATGCACGTTTATTAGCCAAAAAAATTGTAACAACATTTAAATTATCATCAGAACAGTTAAGTACACAAGATCATTATGATTTCGGTATGCGTGCGGTTAAAAGTGTTATATCGGCTGCGGGTAATTTAAAACGACAAAATGCAGATATGGATGAAGTAAGTTCTTTTTATTGACTTTCATTCTGTGTAAACCATATCGGAGAAATAGTATTTTCTCCAGATGTGTTCTATCAACCTTAAACATCGAACACAGAATAGCGTCAATAGACAGAAGTAGATAATAAATTTAGGTATTAAGTAACGTGGACTGTAGAGGATATGGAAGATGTATTGTAACAGTCAATTAATTAAGTGAACGACAGAGATATGCTATTAATCCCTTTTTATTATTATATCTTTCATATTTGGTCCTAGTATTTTCGTCTTTATGTTTTGTGTAATTTTAATCTTCTTGACTCATTAAACTATAACATATTCCACTGAAATTCATGAATTTCATTTATTCTGTATTATTATCATGCCATTAATCACCTACGTTTACCTGATTGAACAAGATCATATTCCAGTCTTTCATGTTACATGATTTTGATTTCTAAGTTCAGTGATCCACTCATCCGTTAGAAAAAAGTACTCCACAAATTCTACTTGTCATGCACATACCTACTGACAAACGTAAAGATTTTTTCATTGCAGCTGAATACAATTGCAATACGTTGAAAAACCAAATATTTAAAAGGAATAAGAAAAAGAGGATTCAACGAAGAAAGTTTTCTTTTCGACGAAATCATTTACTTAAGCTGTACATTCGTATATATAGTTACAAGGAAAATATATGTCTATAGAAGGATAGAAAAGATTGCATCATAAATCGATTCGAGACTAAGTATCAAATGAGGTTACGTACTAACCAAGGGGTAGGGAAGAAAATAATTTACGGGTCAGATAATTGTCCCATTCACAGATATGAAGAAAAAACGGCAAACATAAAGGTCATAATAATAACTTATTAGAGTTTAAAGTGGCAAAACAATAATTTAAAAAATTCAATAATAATCCAATAAAAGTGATGAAGAAGAAGAAGAAAGGATGAAACCCCGAAACATACCAATAAAGGAAATTAGGGCCAAGAAAGAATGAGAGATTGAACGAATCGTTTCCGTACGCAAAGTTCGAGCTTGAGTTCGTGGATTGCCAATGCCTCAATAGTGCATAGAATATTGATTCGATATCCCTTCTATCCAATTCCTTTGAGCGCGTAGAGTACTTTGGAGCGATGTGTCCACAGTTGATTAAATGCTCCTGTACAGAACTAGTAAGTGTTTTACATTCTCATTTTAAAAACCATACCGAATGGTGTTCTGAAATGCGTTTGGAAAGTGATCGCTTTGTGAGGCAAATGTAACCTGCCCCACATGAGCAAGTGAATTTATAGATAAACATTACTGTGTCCCAAAGTGGTTTGTCCTTAACACATCCATGAATGGTAGACCGGCTTGAGAAAACAAATCGGAGTTTAACTACATAGAACGTTTTATTAAATAGTTTTGAAATCCAATTTTCTGTTACTCACAAGTAGTAGTACGACTACTCAAATACTACATAAATATTACAATCTAAAACGAACGTTAAATCATAATATTTGCCACTGATACTATAAATTGATTTCCTGTTTTAAAGCTGCTGAATCAAAGTTCTACTCATTATTAAAGCATCACTAGATAAAATCTATGAAACAACATCTATTCTTTTGTTAATTTCAATTCATAATAACCTGTTGAATAAATTGTTTTTATGACTACATTGAAATAAAACTATTGTCAAATCAATTGATTGTCAATGTTGGACCTCAATAATTGAACTCTCTTAGTTACAACTATTACTATTACCATTAATTATATTTTCATATGTACAGGATCTTATATGTTTACGTGCTATACGAGACGTGAATGTACCAAAATTCTTATCAGATGATTTAAAATTATTCAGTGGCATTGTATCTGATTTATTTCCTAATATAAAGTAAGTTGAAACAGTTATTATTGTTTGGTAACAATGTCCAATATCAATGAGATTAATCTAATTATATGCATACAATTTTTAAATAACAAACAATTATATAAGTAGTTTAAATCGTAGTACGAATTCACACACTATTACCTTTTTTATTTTATCGCATCGTTCATTATTTCAACTCTTTCCCAAGTTTTGATTACATCATTGTCATTTTTGTTTAATTCATAATTTTCATTGGAACTGATTAGTTTCAATTCATAGCTTTCTTTATTACTTCATTACACAATCATCTAAAGGTTGTCAACTCTATGATTTCTTGTCACTAGTTCATCGTTGAGGAACCGTCTTTCTAACAGTGTACTTATTTATTAGGACCAGAAATGTTTACTACTTTAATAACACCATTGAAAAAATTCGTTATATCATAATACACATATTCATATTCACTCACCTTCGTATTCATAAGTATGTCGTTATCGATAATAACTTTGATTTTAAATATCATAGGTTGTAAGTAGCTGATGAGAACCAAACGAAATAAGATGAATTCAGTAATTTCCAGCAGTATATATATGGTTAAGATTTTTAAAAGTTTCTCTTCTGGCTTTCAACTAAGATTCCTTTCAAATGTTATTTGAATTGTGAGCAGAACTAATCCAATGGATCATAAATCTCCTCATAATTCGAAAATTGACTAGCCAATTGCCATTAAACCATATTCCATGGTAAACATGTAGAACATGTCATACCTGTAGTCATGTGACAGAATTTTATGATTTATAGTAAAGAGAATTTGGATATGGATCAGCTGATACTATCACAGAATATATTAAGTGATCTGTTACCGATATCATTTTCTTATCCGCCCTCTAATCCACCAATCAAAACATAATGAAGAGAAGGAAATTAGTTCGCACCGTTCTGTATTATTACTGGACTCACATCTCATGTCAATATTTACATCTATAACAAATAATTGTTAAATAGCTTATCAGGGTTGACATTAAGCCCACGGCATTTAAAATTCGTTACCACCCCTTTCTAAAAAAATGTTTGGTGTCAAAGAAAAATTTAGAGATCGGTGATAGGTGTACTTGTTTTGCAGGTGTGTGCTCAAGTGATAATGAACAAACATTTTGTCACCTTTAATAATTTTGTTATTGGTCGTAAACTGTTCATCTCTGTAATCTGATTTGTTGAAATTGAAATCACATCTAGAGCTGTGATTGGATGTCAGAATTTAGATTTTTACATTTGAAATTTAACGATAATGAATAAATCTTTTTGTGTCATGTTAGTCTTGAAAAGAATTTAGAAATTTATAGAAAAAAACACCAACTGAAGTGCAATCCTACTGTTACTGAATGTGTATTGGGATAAATTTTTGATTTCCGATCAAAAATTTTAATGTCACGAGTACTTATATGTATCACATAAAAATAAATTTTTTGCAAAAATGCAACTGAAAACCGGTTTGAATATTTGATAATAGTGATTACTGAATGAGGTCGGTAGTCTAATGCTGAATACCCAATTAATAAACAAACTATCATCAAAGTGTGTGCATAGTTTTATTTGTAACACATGGTCTGTTAATTCGAGAAACAAATCAACATATTAATAAATCATAATGATAAATTACTGATTGCAATGTGTATAATTCAGGTGAACCAACCGTAGACCATCATTTAATGAACTGACTTTGACAGTATATGAATGTTGTAATAAATTTAACCGAAATAGGCACTTATTATTTAGTAAACGATTATTTTGTAAATGGTCATTCATAATGAGACTTAGAAAAAGGGTTAGATGTCGATTCGGTTCATTTTAAAAGTCCATTGAAACACAGTTTATTGTTTTCACTTGTGATTTATTTGTAGTTCTGTATTTTAAAATTAATATTTTTGGTCGTAATAAAAACTAGTGTGTTTAATCAGTCATGTTGGAATACTGTTAATCGTAATATGAAACCTGAACTATATCTAGACATTATGAATGTAACCATTTTTGACAAGCATTTGAAATATCAGTTTCATAAAGTGTAAATGAACAAGCCTACGTCGTCTGACTGACTCAACAAATATCTATCGACATTAAACGTATAAATATGAATTAGGTCAACTGTATCAATGAACATTTACAATTATATTATTATTCACTTTCCTTATTATGATTATTATTATTATTATTAGTAATATGATTATTATGTCAATTGACAAGATTCAATTCCCATATTATGTATTTCATTGACACAATTTTTTTCGCATTATAAATTTTCCTATTATGCTCTTACACTGAACACTTTACTTCCAATAATCCAGGCCATTATAGAATGACCTTTCTAATTTGCAAATGTTACAATTTGTAAGTATATATATATATATATATATATATATATATATATATATATATATATCGTAATAGATGTAAACGTTCACCATTGTTAACACATTACATAGTCAAATGGATTAATGCCATGCCTTATTGTTGGCCTTTATAAATTATAAAAATTATGGGCTTATAACTGTATAGTGTGATGATGAAGTTATTGAAAACGATTGTTCGCTACACTATTTTTTATTTTTGAAAATATTATACGACAATTTTTATGACTGCTACAATCACATTGTAGCAGTCAATAATAGTTATATAGCTGTGCAAATGAATTCCTTGATATAATCAGTATTTATGAATCACAATGAAGGCTTAGTTGACGATCGGACGTACTACTTACGTACGCATAGTTCTGGTTTCATGTACTTTTAATATAAAACAAGAATATGAAATTCTTGTTTTTTGTATTCATGAAACGGATTATATTCTTATATCTTTTAACACTTACTATATGACCTTTAATCACATGAATCATTTCAACGACGATGGTTTCAACTTGTTTTATGTCAATATTTTGCTCATAAATAAGTTAATTTTCTTCATTGTGTTTACTTGTCTATGAGCTTTAATCACATTTATCACTAATATATATTCTCATCAACTTATTGACCTAACGAGCACATTAGAATTTTCACTATATTGAAATATTCCTATGGAAATTGGCTAAAATGTACTATTATTAGATAGTTTACAAAAGTGTTATTAGAACATGAACATTAATCACAATATTTTAAATATAAAATTACTAGATTAGTCTTCATTAGATGACAAAATCTTGTTTACGTTTTCTTAACCTTTATATCCATTCTGATATTTGACCAATTTAACGCAGTTGTTCACCAACGTGGTTTCGATCGATGATTTTAACACTTACTATATGACCGTTTAATTACATTAATGATTTCAATGATAACTGCTTGAACTTGTTTAATAATGTTAGTATATTATTCATAAGGAAGATAATTTTCTCCAATTTGTTTACTTCTCTATGAGCTTTAATCACATTCATCTTTGTAACTATCTTATTATATTCACTAATAAATGTTATCATAAATTTATTCACCTAACGACAAAATAACGATTTTCACTGTTTTAAAATATTCCTATTAAAATAGTTTACAAATATGTAACTAAGGCATGAACGGTAATCACATTATTTCACATCTACAATTATTAGATCAGCGTTCATTAAATTACAAAATCTTGTCTGTTTTCTTAACCTTTATATGTATTATACATTAGAAACAAGTTTACGAATACACGAGCGATAATCGCTTATAGATTATTTATATCTAAGGTCTATCTAAATGCATTCGACATTAAAAAGTGCCTAAACACTTGACCTTTGGCAAAGACAAAAACAAAATTGGAAAAAATGCCTTTAAATCAATTTGTGGGTGGCCCTGAAAAGGGCCTTTAATCGTTCTCGCGGTGGGACGTCTGAACTAGTAGTTGGTAATGGCGCCACACATCGGACAGTGGACTGCTCTTATGTTCGGTGATGGGTCATAAGCACAGAATCTATGAAACATAGCTTCACAAGGACAGAAAACCCAACCCAATTCATCACCAGTTTCATAGGGCGGCTGTGCAAGATTACAGATGTCACACAAACGGTTCTCTGCATCTTCGTCATTTTGGATGTCCCGTTCTGTTAACTCTTCTGAGTTTATAGAAACTACGTCATCGTTACTTAACGTTTCATCCAAATCGACATTTCCACGGTTCATCAACTGCGTTGTAAAGTTAGTCGACATGCTTGTTCCAATGTACAACTGCGGTTCAGCTTGTAAGTTCAACGGCGTTGGTGTTAGTCTACCGTGAAGTTCATGATAACACTGGTTATAAAGTGAACTGCATTGTTCCTCAGACAGTCGCCTGACTAACGCAATCACTGTATTCTTCATGCTCGGCTGGCTCAATTGCATTGGGAAATAATTCTCAACTGCAATATGAGTCAGATAAGTATCAGAGTGTAACCACCTATCACAAATTGACTGTAAGTTCACATCAGTCATACTGTGTGTACAGTAAGCCAATATGTGCCGACATGGCAAACCGTTTTCAATGGAAAATGTACATGAGCAGCGCATGGAATCACGGTGTACATTGTAAGTCCCTGTTGCGTCCACAGCCGTGAATAACTCAACAGACATTACAAACTCCGTTATAGGAGTGCGCAGGTGCCGCTTCAGTACTTGACATGCAGCTGGTGTCAGTCGTTCCTGAAGTTCACGCATTGCTGGCTCTTGGCCGATGTTGGCTTTTACCCGGCAGTCTGAGGTATATTTCTGTAACCTTGCCTCCATCCAATATCCAACGCGCAGTAGCACACTAAAGATAGATCTCAGCACTGGTATTTTTCGACTCAGTTGATGCATCTTCAAAATTCGGTGACTTGTCTCAACAAAGTTCGTATTATTGAGTTGAAGTAGCGTTGCTGATGGTCGAAATGCTGTAGACCATTTGTGTTTTCTCGGTAGAAGGTGGTCTCTGACATATCGGGCAAACGTTCCGTCCGATATTTCGATCAACGATAATACATTGTTAAAACTACAAAATAATATTATGTTGCTTTTGATTTACCTTTCAACCGTTTGAGTAAACATCAGGCGGAAAAATAGTTGTATTACTTCTGATCGTACCCTCTACAATTAAGGTTACTGGGTTAATGTTAATGAACGAAACACTTACCCTCTTTATAACATTGCGAACAAGGTGGACGCGACACAAGATATGGTGAGCATTGGGATACACCTGCATGATGGCAGCAGCTATTGCAGGTGAATCATCTGTCACAATGCCTACCACCTGTCGATTGTTGGTTGACCGTTGAAAGAACGACAGGAATCGAGAAATCAAAGTCGATGTTTCGCGACTTATAAATGCAATACTAACGGGTATCGCCTTCAAATTCATATCAAGGGCTACGATCTGATATAAATAGATATTCTCGTTATTCGTCTTGTATGTTCCGTCCAAACCAATAACATCACCGAAACGGTCTGCAAAAATCTTTTGATCACCAGTGCTGAAGAAAAAGTACGATAGACAGTTCTCATCGTCTAATTCGTATTCGCATAGCCCACCCAAAGATGTTATGTGCGCTTGCAATTTTCCGTAATCACCTATCGTTTACATTATAAATTGGCAAATGGCTTACCAGGAATGTTCGCCTGTGAGAACACTTTGTACCGCATATTATAGATATCTTGATCATTCAGTATTTTTCCATAAGAATGGTAAGCATAATTCTTAATGTGGAATGAAGCAGTACCAGATATTAGCAGCGGTCGCACATTTTCAAACTGGGCATCTGTTAACCTGCGCACCCATGAATTACCTTGGTACCTCAGGGAATTGCACTCGTGATTGTGATGCACATTCCCACGTACAACAGTCCAGTAGCCGTCGATAATCTTACAGTACATGAAGGCCGGACATTGAGTGTTCATGGAAGCCCTTCATGACAAAAAAGTGTTAATAACATTTATAAAATTACCTCCTCCGTCTGATCCGCTGTGACGAATCGCTAGATGTTATACGGCCATGTCTCCAGCACACAAATTTAATGTACGAGTTTTCATTTCTGCACAAATGCCGTGGGGCTAATGAATTTCGCTTATCAGAATACTTTCTGTAATTGCTTTGTAGTCTTACAATTATGCTACATAAATTGTTTATATTTAGTGTTAATTGAAATGTGAACATATTAATAATTTTTTTTTAATATTTTATTCAAGCTTTCCATTAGTTGATCGTTCTGTTTTTATCATTTTAGTGAGAAACCAATCGATTATGGTGATTTGATGATTGCATTAAAGACATCATGTAGTAAATTAGGTCTAATGGAAGTTGAAGGTAATTTATAAAATAGATTAGATAGATATTTTTGTATGGATAAATATAATTTATTTACATTTCCTCATGAAACTTCTTAAGGGTTGTTGATATTCACTAGTCAAAGTATCTAAATTCCAAACTGATGGTTTGACTAACTATATTAGGCTAGCAGTTATGAAGTTTTTTTGATAAGTGGTTTATTTGGACAATACACAAATGAATTCAGTATTGAATTATCTTCCTTTATTATTAACTTACAAAATTACTAAATAAAATGTTTGATATAATTTACTGGCAGTTTAACGTGCCTTTATAATAGTAAATAAAACTAAAGTGATCACTGATCCTGTCTATGAATGATATTCAATCCCAGTTTCATGATCAACTGTGTAATGATGATTTTGACCTAAAATTGGTATCAAATGGGAGATATCTAAAAGACAGTTCAATTTCAAGTGAAGTATTATCTAATAATTGAGTTATAACCATTTGTTTACATAGTTCATCCAATATTAATACATAATGCTAGACATCTATCGCTGAATAATACTTACGAGTAATATACTCTAGTTCTGCTATCTTCTGTGAACTAAACGGATTTTTTTTAATGGACCACTGCATTTTTAACTGACTTCTGGAATTATTTTTTGCTTGTTGCGAGTTTTAAGTTTAATCTTGTATAGGATCATATAAAGTTCAGTACATTCGACTTCTCAATGTTACACTATCTGATGTTATGTTTAAGCTGTCAAAAACTTCATAAACAACTCATCAGATTGATTATATTGACAGACGGATAGCATGACATATTAGTTATAAATAGTATCTATTTTCATTAATGTGATTTATGATAACAAAATGCATACATCGAAATTTAATGACTACTGGCTAAAATAAGTGTAAACATAACATTTATATTTTGTATTCAGTGACATTCTCGAACATAGGACATTATCAATCTCGGGGTTTTCATACAAAACCCTACAGAGATTTAATGTAAAACCCTACTACTAAAGTCACCATGATTAATCAGCACCGACAAATATAGTTCATCATTAGGAGTCAAATTGTTTGAAACATAGTTTAATCAAACACAACCACTTTTTACCATTCATTCATCTTAAATGTTTTGTTATTTTCTTGATCTTTTCCCAAGGTTTTGTCCACAAATGTATTCAACTTTATGAAACAACTGTAGTTAGGCATGGACTAATGTTAGTTGGTCCAACTGGATCAGGTAAAACTAAGGTGAGTTATTGCTTTTAATTTTACGTTTAATGGCAGATAACTGTCTATGAGTAAGTAATAATTCTAACTAAAATTATGATCCAATATATGTGGTTAATGTTCAAGATTGTTATCCTTTCCTGTTTTTGATATTCAGGATTGGATTTAGATCGGTCAGTACTTATATATATTAATCCTAGTCGAATTCCTCGCCATTACCTGTAGTTACGAATTACATAACTGAGAAAAAAAACAAGAATAGTTAAATAATTTGTCTGCTTGGTTCACTTTTGAGAAGTGACACTGACACACGGAGATTGATTTGCATCTAGTCAGATGTTCATATTTTTTTATTTTAACAATATGCTGAAATTCATGAAAAGTTTAGTTAACTCGCTATAGTAGATTAAAATCAGAAATAATCATGACCAACATTGCTTCCTCAGTCTTATCTCAGTAAATAATCATGTAACATCCTAGCAAAACTACTTCATTTACCCGATTTCCCACACAATTTAGGCATAAAAGAATAATTTACAGTTATCTGTTGTATAATACAACCGTCTTTTTAATAATTCGTAGTTGACCTTGTAAAAATTATTAACACTAAGCAGTATTTGACAAAAATCTCTTATGATCGACAGCTTTCATTTCATTTTATCTATATTTATTTTCAGTGTTATGAAGTACTTCAAAATGCTTTGACATCATTGTGTAAAAAGGTAGCTCCAGATGGCACACTATTTCAAACTGTACATACATATATATTAAATCCTAAATCAATAACAATGGGACAATTATATGGCGAATTTAATCTATTAACACACGAATGGACTGACGGTATATTAAGTACATTAATACGTCATGGTGTTAATTCATCGGATGAAGATAAACGCTGGTATATATTCGATGGTCCAGTCGATGCTGTTTGGATTGAAAACATGAATACTGTATTAGATGATAATAAGAAATTATGCTTAAGCAGCGGCGAGATTATTAAATTAACTGATCCAATGACTATGATGTTTGAAGTAGCCGATTTGGCGGTTGCTTCACCAGCTACTGTTAGTCGATGTGGCATGGTCTACTTAGAACCAAGTATTTTAGGATTGAAACCATTTGTACAATGCTGGATAAAACAATTACCTGATCCAGTATATCATCATCATGATAAACTTCAAGAATTATTTGATAGATATATGGAAGTAGGTTGTGATGATTTGTTTGGTTATTTTGTAAATGATAAGAGTAAACACTTTATTTTGGTTGTTGCACTTGTTTAGATCTTTGCAATTTAACTGAGTTCAAACTAACAACGTTAACTGATCATTCAAAGACAATAGGAGCTATCGGTATAGTTTAAACAAATAAAAGATTTTTGAAAGCACCTTATAGCTTACTGAACTGCAGGGTTTCAAGAAAATAAGATAAATCAATATGGAACTTCTGTAGACAAGCATAACCGATACTACTTTTAGTAGCTAGCTCAACCAGTGATAAAATCATTAAATAAACAATTAGTCTAATAGCCAATAGCCTATACTATTGATATTTAATTAGGTTGTGTCAGGTTGAGATCTCGATGTACCTTATTATCTATCACTAGCATATTAAGTCGAATCCACTTTTTGATACAATCCATTCTATCCTTCTATAGACATACATTTTCCATATCTAACTATATATACGAATGTACAGCTAAAGTAAATGATTTCGTCGAAAATAAAATTTTCTTCGCTGAATTCTCTTTTTCTTATTCAATGACACTATGGGTTATTTTAATTATATAAAACAGTGTTATAAATTTACATACTTCTGTGAAATACACATTTATGTACTTTTTCGCCGTACATAAATGAGATTTTTTTCCATGAAACGAAATATGAAATATCATTGAATAAACATAAATAAATAGAATCATTATTGACCAGAATATTTAACATTCATTTCACTTTCTAAAACAGTGTAAACCTACAGGAGTAACACTATTTACATTTAGTTTAAGGAGTTTTGTTTAGGTTTGTGTACTTCATGGGCTGAGTTCTTGATACAGTAATCTTAGTCGGGGTACCTAGAAATATGTGATGACAATAACCTACAAATCTTATTAATTTAAACAAAATCCCTTCAACTAAGCAATGGTAATTAGTTCATTAGTCACCAGCGTCAAGATATTTTTGAAGCACAGATATATTGGCATTGAAACAGTTTTACCAATAGTGTTTAATAATAACAGCACAATTTCAGAAATTTATTCTAGTCGAGATTATACAACAGTATACTTACTCAGTGGTTCTAATACTTAACTACTCGTCAAGATACCTTAAGTCCCTGGGTTCAAACCTTGATTAAGTGGTAGGTGCATACTTATGAAAGTTCACATACAAGAACGAAACAGCTTCTTGATGACTCCTCATTTTCACTGGTATCTCAACTGAGATCAATCTATAATGAATACAAACAAGATGCTAGATAATCAAGATCTTTTTGGACGACTGATTCGTAAAGGCTGTTTTACTTCTTTCTTCAAAACTTAGACAACGACTAACAAAAGCATTTGTCGAGTGGTAAACTTTGAACTATTTGAATGATCAATATGATGGATACGGATCACATCAATTAATATAGGCAAAAGAGAAAACTACTAAGAGCACAGAAAACCAACATCCGAAAATCGCTTAACCCAGAACAAATAAGTGGTCAACAGGATGGAGGATACTCGTAGTAATAATAATAGGTATTTGTTTGAGAAAAGTTTAATACTCTATTTAATGTACCGAAGACATGCTGTTTCGTAGCTAAAGCGGTCATTTACATCTGATTGCATGCTATACCCAGTAATCATCTAACTGATAGCCTAATTGTTCATGTTATCATATCGCTTGCATAAATGTTTAACTTATCATTAGAATATTGACAGTTTAACATGTCTTCTTTTAATAAAAACAAACGATACATTAAAGCATATGATGAAACACATCTGCTATACTATATTACTAAACTGAAATTATGCTGTAAGTAAAATAATTTTTCAGAATTTTCCATTTGTATTTTGACAGGATTCAATAAGATTTATTAGAAATGAAACGAAAGAGATTATTACAACAACTGATGGACAATTATGTTTTAGTTTAATGAAAATGATGGATTGTTTTTTTGTACCATTTCAATCGAAAGAGGTTAGTTTTGTTAATTATTCAATAAATTGTTATATTTACTTTCCAAATGTCAAAATAAAGCAACATAATTAAGTGATCTTTTTACTACGCTCTATCAGTCCGATAGAGAAGTACAAAAAATATTGATTGGTTTAAAGAATTGAATAAGATTACATTATTTAATATATTAATATAATTTAATAGTTGAGATCATCAATCATTTGAAGCTAGAACACCATGGAAGACCTGAAATCACTAGACGGCCACTTCGTCCTATTGTGGGACTCCTCAAAAGTGAGCACCTACGATCTCGCCTCGCGAGACTCGATCCCAGGACCTATCGGTCTCTAAACCTTTAGACCACTGAGCCGGCCTCTAACGGTGTCAACGTCTAACTTCAACCAATCAACGAAGTTGAACGATACATCCACCATTATCTTCAGTGAGTTACTATCTCACAACAGACCCAGTTGAACTCTACTGGTCACTGCTTCTTTTATATAGTGGTCTAGCTTCAACTGACTCATGATCCCAACTATTTAAACTACTACAATATCCACAAAACCCCTTCTGAAAGTAATATATTCTTATAATTTTCAAAAACAGACAGTCACTAAAAATATACGAGAAATATTTTGAAAAACAAAAGACAGCCAGCCATTAATAAACATGAATAACATAGGGATCCTCTGTGTAATACTTTACAGAAATGACGAAAGATAATTATTCAATGAAACCGAGTCATTCTACTCACTTTGTTTGCATAATGATCCTAGTTGAGTTTCATTGACGGATCATCTTAGGAAGTCTATGAGATTATAATCATGGCTTTTTATTTGGCCTATAATAATGTTTCAAGGGAAATGTACTGCATTTAAATATCAATACTGAAGTACAGATACTTCCTGTTAACATGGAATAGTGTGAATGAGACTATATCATTTAAAATTTGACTAATAATCATAATCTAGAAAATATTGAAATAAATCGTCGGGTGTTTATTCATTTTATGTGGTTATTTATTGTTCATTATTTATTTTTCCTAAATAAATAATTTTGATTATCATCTAAATTAACTTTGTTTGTCAAATATAATGAATAAAATACATTTAACACTGAATTGCTTTTATTATAACTTGATATGATAAAAAAAGAACTAGGTCGTTCAATTCAATAAAAGATTATTTCACTAAACGCTTTTTTATCAAGAAAGCGGCAAAACTATAACTTATAGACGACCTTTGGACGAATCTCAAGTGACCTTGGGAAATACTAGCCAATCGGAAAACAGTTAGTACAAAGTAAAAATATATCATACAAAACCAAAAAATTAAAGTCGATACACTTCTTTTACATGGTTCAAAAACTTTTCAAGGTTCGAAGGAGGTTAGGAAATTCTGGAATCGTAGTGCAAACGGTAGAGGAACTCATCTATATAGCTCCATAATAGTCGGCCTCTCGAACCATGATAAGGTCGTAAAAATCTCCTTCAGCCTCGACCACATAGCTTCAATATTGTTAGTGTTCACTCTGGTTGTAGGGTCCACAAAATGAAGCTTGTGGATAACGAAATGATGCACATGACCAAGCCTATTCAGGCATCTGTACGCTCTCCAATCATCTGTATATATTGTAGTACCTAGCTGCACATATTCCCGTATAACTGGTATTATTTTTGTTGCCTGTCGGTTTCTAACCCTTTGGATATGTCCCTTTCGGGTTAACTTGTCGTAAATTTCAAAGATCTGACCTCTACAATACTCGTACCACTGAACAGCTGAAGCTTCAGTAATGTCTGTAAATGCTGCAGCCAGTGTTACTGGTGCTTTTATTATCCAATTCACAACAATTATGATGATTTCTGTTCCAGCAGACTTCTTCCTCCAACATAAATAACATCGAAAGATAATAACATCACGGTGGTCTGTACACGGCGCATCAGTCATTTGATTACCGCAGTCACAAATAAAGGAACTTCTTAGTAATCCCATCTGTTGTAGCCGCTCAATTATCATGTCTCTAAACTCCGCTGTAAACCGATCGTACGCGGGCATCAGGTGCTGAAATTGGCGCCGTGACCTTAAAATCCCTCAGGTGCTTCTAACTGGCTCATCCATAAATCATAGTCTCGCCAGGACAGCTTATAAATTGGTCATTTACCCTTAGTAAATTAGTAGTAAAATGATTAACAAATTCTTTTGAATGAAATGTTTAGCATGAATGTGTGTTTTGCTTATGATAGAATGGATAGACTGTGCTAACATATAAGTCATTATTGAACACCGAGTAGGTTAAATTAAGTTAACATTAGATGTTTTATGTTTTGGCTGTTTTAAAATCAATCGTACATAAATTAGTCTAACAGCAAGCTAGTTGTGACTCAAACAGATCAGTGGTTACGTTACAGTCTGTGATAACTGTTCGAATCCCACGAAATCATGATCCTATTGGTTTCCTACGGTCACTTAAACATTAAAACATAGTGCATACAAAGTAAAATGACTTAGATTAGTGATCGCATTGAGAATTGATCAATATAATTAAACCAGAAATAAGGTATAAACAAACATAACATGGTCTACAACTTTGATCAATCAATGTAAATGTGTTGTTCTTGTTCAGCTAATTTAAATTAAACTTTTATAATGCCCAATACATTTCTCCCAACATTTGATACTCTATCTTTTTTAAAACTTGTAATAGTATAAAGCATTACTAAAACAAATAAATTTCAATTTTTTCTTCGTTTTATTTTATAATTAGAATTTATCCAAAAAATGGTTATCTAAAACTTACTCAAGCTTACTATCTAAAGTTTGCACAATTATTAGAATAAAACTAGAGTAAAACTAAACAATCTTTATTATTTTCGTATGATATACGACTCAGAATTGGTAGAGAAATGGATTGAATCCATTCACTCTTTATCTTCTTTTAGATATTGAGTTTCAAAGTTATCTTGTACTTCTTTTTCGGTGAATTCATTATTTTTTCTCGTTTTATATTGCCTATACCTCATCTTTTCTTCTGTTACCACTTATACTATTACCACTTCTACCGTAGTAGATGAAAACGTAAGTAAGGCAAACCGTTTCATTGTCTAATGCTAAAATATACAATGTCTTCATAAAATATGAAAATCATACGTTAAATACATCACTTGCACAGCTTCCTTCAGTTGTCCTTAACACACTTCAAGTTTCTTCCAATTTCGTCGTTATTATAGTTTCTCTCTTCTTTCCTTCCTGTTCTTTTCAATTCAATCCTAGGCTGTCAGGCATTGCAATTCTCACTGGTGTCACATACTACTTATATCTGTCAGCATACGTAGCATACACCACCCTGCTACTTCGTGATTTACCGTAATAGTTTTATCTCACTGTGAAAATACTGTATGGAAACTAATAGCAATTCACTCTGCTTGATCCTAAACTAAGTCAGTCGGTCACTATCAACGTAGTTTATGTCGCAGAGATGTACTGATGCAAATTACAGTACCAAAATAGAACCACGAGTTTATTGCGTTTCTACTAGTTGTGAACAGGAAACTTGGTATTTAGGTTTCGTTTAGTCTGGGATTCATCTGTTAGATTGAAACCCGCATCACCTTAATTTACACTTGAAGAAATTAGAGTCAAGCGATTTGGATATCAAGTGACCTCCGTCAAAACTGACATATTTCCAATTAATTGATCACTGAATAGTGACTAATGTCGTATCTGTTTACTCGTTTATTTTAATAACAATGGGACCTTTCTTTTCTACTAAACGTTTTTATGATTTAGAAGAATATAAATACTGATGAAATGATTTCGCGAATCGGTCAGGCAATAGAAAGTTGGTTTCTATTTTCACTGATTTGGTCAATCGGTGCTACGTGCACTAATGAAGGACGTATGAAATTTGATCGATATTTAAGGCATAAAATGAAGGAACTGAAAGTACGTATCAATAGTTGTGTATAGAATTATTTTCATATAAATGTTTACTAATGACTAAGGATGAATAACATTTTATATATAAAGTTGTAAGATTATTAGACATTGTTCATTGCTACAAATAGTTTACATCATGATCAAATAACAAGTAGAAAGTCCCTAAAAATTAAAGAACAATGGATAGTTGTTTCATTTTATTATGGGACTTTTTTCAGCTAAATTACTGAAATTATAAACAATATAAATTAGTTAACAGTCTAACCATTTTCACATAGTTTAGTATTTATGGATAATATGCATAGATTTAAAAGAGCATTTTTATATTTTACATCACAAACCAACATTATTGAAGTATCTATTGGAAAGCAAGAGATATTTTACGACTGTTTCATAGTAGTACGTGACTCCGCAGTATTGCATTTTCTCGAAAATATAAGCAGTCGAACACGAGTAATAGTGTTTATTATCCAACATTCTGTTTGCTGTTTTTCTGTGCACAAACATAGTGTGGCTTACCATTCCCTGAAGAAGGATTAATTTATGATTATCGTTTCGAAGATGATGGTTTACTATCACTTGGTGTCAAACATGACGAGGAGGAAGATAATTGTATAAATCGAAAAGTAAGGATAACATTTTTTATTATATTTTGTAAATGTGCTGTTTAAATGATGCAGTGAAAAGACGAACAATATCAGAATTATGTATTAAATATTCATTCGATTTTATTTCAAACAATATGACTAAAAATTAACTCGTTAAGATATTTACATAATAAATGAAAGTGGTCAAACTGGGCAGGAGACATAACATCGAACAAAATACTAAGATAAATGTGTCTTTATAAGCAGTACGTGGACAATATAATAGTCACTGACAAATACGATACTTGTTGTCTATCAATAAAACTTTGTAAAGCATCTTGGTCTTCCTAATGAGCAAGAGATAAATAATCAGCTTATCTTTTTAAATATAATTCTCAGCGGAAGAAAAGATGGTTCAGTCAAATGGTTTGTTTAAAGGAAGCCTAAATTGACAAAATAGTATCTTACTTTCGTGGTAATTTTTAGATCTAATACAAGCGAGGTTTAATAGAGGGCTTATTAAATAGGATAAATCATCTTTACTCAAAAGATACCAAAGAAAATGAAGTAGAGCTTTCAACTGAAACGTTAATTGAAAATGGATATTCATTTGCCGATGGAAAGTTGACAATCTGTGAGGTCTTAATATGTTTCAACATCCAAAAAGCAGGACTACATCACCTCACTGTTAAGGGGTTACAAGCAGTTTTGAAATGAAATGAATGAATAAATTAACGATTAGTAGAACATTTTACACAGCTCAAATTATTAACATTGAAAAGTCAAGATTCGTACCTCACGAAAAAATCTAAATGTTATATAAACAAATAGGTTTTACGCCATTACTTTTCTTAACTTACATGTATATGTACACACACATCCATAGGAAAGACTAGTTATGATCTCCAAGTGAAGATGACTAAACGCATACTTACATTATTGCAAATACAGATGAATTCCAATGGTTCAATAAGAGCACGAGTTAAACAACCATCTTCTTATATTGGTAAATATTTAGATGAGAGAAACCATAGGGTTGATATTAAATAATCAGCCTTTGTGGTGTTGAATGGGCATGCCTTCGGGGTTTATTGAAGCCCAAGTCATACAATGATCAATAGCATCTTTATATGTTTGTACTGAATTTATCCTTCTGATAGTGACTTTAAGTTTCATACACAGAGTGATGTTATTTGTATCTCTATAATTATCTCTGTTTTTTTACGTTCCCATTTCACTATTTCAATAACTTTCATTTTTCATATAAATATATTTACAAGCGATCAAATCACTTGCAATAAGGTGTCGCCAATAAATTACATGGTTCTGATAAAGTTCTCATTCTTATTCGATTGTCGTAATCTATCAAAAGGATTTATTGTTTTACGTAAATACAGTTATTAAATTGTAGAGGACGAAAATATATTTTAGATTTAACAGAGAATATTTTTATGCTAGGCAGGAATTTATATCCACCTAACTCGATTCATATTACAAACAATCATCAGTTAATCAATCTAAAATCTGAACACATATGCTTTTTTAAATGGTGCTCAAGTGCTTTACTGTCATGTGAATCAAGAACAAATAAGTACCTTTCTTCCATCGATTCTATTCTAAAGTGAGCACATGAGACGAAACGTCAAGGGTTCGGTCTCTCGTAATGCATGCGTACTGCCGAAGACTCTTATACTAGAACAAAACGAATATCCTGGTTTTGATGGATAACTAATCTAGGTCACTTATTGATATCTGTAACATTCAATAATCTCCACAAATTTCAATACTGATAATAAAAATAAATTACGTACCATTTCGAAATTAAATAAGCCTTCAAAATAAACAAATCTGTACCACAACAAGACACCATAGTAATGAGAGGAAGAAATATCAATAAAAGTAGAAAACAATCGACTTGTAGAAACAAGGAAGTCATAAAATTCTTTTAAGATGAGTAATAATAATAAGTATGTTTTAGATATTTCGATCGTTTGATGAGTCCAAACTAAAACGAAACGTGCGTTTCGTATTACACTGTTATTCACTATCCATATCTGCTTATAAAATAAGTTTAGTTTAATACTGAGGAACAAGTGAATTTAGTAAAGTTGGATATTCACTGCTTTTTAATGATTAAACTTATTCAACTTTTTTATTCAAAATATTAAATTTTCGACTTATATTTTATTTTTATGACAAATAAAACAAACTTGAATGTAGATGCATTGGGTACATTGGATGATAAATATACCAGAATATAAAATCACTTCAGATATTCGTTATTCTGATATTATTATACCAACAATCGATAACGTACGTTCAAGTTATATTACTGAAATGTTATTATTAGCTAAAAAACCAGTTTTATGCATTGGTCCAACTGGTACAGGGAAATCATTAAATATTTTGCATAAATTAACACGTCATATGCCTAAAGAGTATATACCAGAATTTATTATATTCAGTGCTAAAACTACAGCAAAACAAACACAAGATTTAATTGATAGTAAACTAGATAAACGACGTAAACATTTATTTGGTCCACCATTAGGACGTTACATTATATTTTTTATTGATGATTTAAATATGCCTGCATTGGAAGTATACGGTGCACAACCACCTATTGAATTAATACGTCAATGGATGGATTTCAGTGGTTGGTATGATTTAAAAATGATTGGTGAATTCCGTAAATTAATTGATGTGAATTTTATATGTTCAATGGGTCCACCTGGTGGAGGACGTAATCCAATCACTGCTAGATTAATGCGTCATTTCAATGTTTTGGCATATAATGAACTAGATGACTCCAGTATGCAATTAATATTTAGTGTAATCTTAAAATCATGGTTAAATCGTTCTACCAATGAAAATGTAACAATGAAACTTATGTCTTATACTAATGATTTAGTAAAAGCTTCAATTTCAGTTTATAAAACAATTCAAAAGCAATTATTACCAACACCAGCTAAAAGTCACTATACATTTAATCTAAGAGATTTATCAAAAGTGTTTCAAGGTATGCTTATGATGGATACTGATCAGTTAAGTGGAAATATTGAACAATTATTGCGTTTGTGGTATCATGAATCATGTCGAGTATTCCAAGATCGATTAGTGAATGATGTGGATCGTGATTGGTTTAATCAGTTAATTAATAAAACATCAAAAGAAATGTTCAACTTAAATGTAAATGATTACGTGACAACTACACCATTATTATATGGAGATTTCTTGTCCATATCGAAAAATGATGCTTCAAAATATATAGAAATGACTGATCATAGCAAAGTAAGTTATTTCTCTTTTGTTTAGATATTTTCGATTACTAATAATATAGTTGTCGTTTGAGTGAAAATAGTACTTAACACCCACCTTAAGCGATACTTAAAAAGGTCTTGATATTTTAAATACTACTTGTTGATCAGTGAGGTGAAAGGTAAGCTTAAGTCTTTTACGAAAGGAGTAGTTAAAAACGTTTTTTACGCTTCATAAAGTTTTAAATGTTTGCATTATGTTGTTTCGCTCTAAAATAAAAGTTCACTGTACAGAAACTTATTCAGTAATATGTTTAACAGCTTTATAGGTGATCATTCATAGAACCTTAGTTGTTCAAGATATTCTACATAGCCTTTACAATTTCTATATGCAAAATTACTCAAAGACTGATGAAAAGGCGTTGTTGGACAACGACATAGGAATCTCATACACATGCAAATCTCCATTCATTTAAATTTCTGCACACCACATACCTTTATTATTCAGTGAAACAAATCAGTTTTATTGAGTTGATCTTTGAACCAAACATGCAGCAGAACAAGTGAATTTTTTATTTATTTTGGCAAATATACCACGTTGTAAATACTGACTGACAACATATAAGACACTTTCTGATCAACCTTAACTGCTCAAATAGCTTAAAATTTCTTCTACTAATTCGCCTATCAAATAGATTTACTTAAGGCCGAAAGTCTTTTTATCGACCCGCCAATTATTATGAACTGAAATGAATACATCTAAATAATTATTTTTAGGATACAATATGATTGCTAAAGTGAACAAATCGATATTATGAAGTACTGAAATTTAGATTAGATTGTTTGAGATAATAGACGCTCACAATGCTTAAGTATACTGTTTAACTGGGCTTCGAAAGACACATCATTATTGTTTATACACTGATCAAGATGTCATCACCATTATTAAAAAACAGTAGTGTAATTTTATGTAGATAATCTCTCCTGGAAAAACAGGAGCTTTCGTCATTTTAATCGACATAAAATACTACTTGTTTCAAAGACTGAACAACGTCCACTGAATGATTTAATGTTTCCTGTATACTTAAAATGATATGATATTTTAACACACGAGATTGATACGGAAATCAGTTTTAAAAATACATTTATATCAAGTTAAAATTTCACGTTTAAAGATCTGAAGGCACTGGACAGTCGTTTCATCATAGTGCAAGACTTCTCATCAGAGCATATCCACGAGCCCGCAAGAGGGGCTCGAACCCAGAACCTTCGGTCTCGTGCACGAATGCTCAACCTCTAGACCACTGAGCCGACATCCAGCGGTGTTAACGTATAATTTCAACCAACCCATAATGTCACGCGATCATCCTTCATTTTCTTCGGCTGGTAGCTGCATCACACCGGATACGGTTGCACTCCACTAGTCATGACTTCTTACTGGAACTCAAAGAATTCACTCTCGAGGCGTTTCTGTTAACGGTACCGGATATGAAATCACTCTTCAATTCTATGATGCCGAAACATCTTGATGAAATTCATTCCTTATCAATTTGACAAGAAGTAATATATTTCAGATAATGCTTAGGGGGTATGCATATAACCTCTTTATAAATCTTAATTCTCTATTGATGACTTACAAATCAATTCATTTTGACTAGAAATTATAAGGTCATTTACTTCAACTGATGTTCATATCCCCGGTAATAAAATTTAGATTCTTTTGAGAATTGCATTACAATAATTAATTTACTAACATACCTTCGTTTTTAGGTACTACAAGTTATAGAAGAAAACCTCGATGATTACAATCAAATTAATACAGCGAAAATGGATTTAATATTGTTTATTTATGCAATACAACATATTTGTCGAATTTCACGTATTATAAGACAACCACAAGGCAATGCTTTACTTCTTGGGATGGGTGGTAGTGGTCGTCAGTGTTTAACACGTCTTGCATCTCATATGTAAGTTAGTATTTCTCTTTATTACGTCTTCAGTTCGATATAACGCTCTGTTATCTTTCTTTCGTTTGACGATAGACTTCGTTGCTTTAGTTCGTATTTGTATTTTTTTATTAATCCCGAAATAATTTGATTTTAGGAAAATGCAGTGGTTTCAGTCCCTCTATTTATTTAAAATATTAACACACTTTATTTGATTAAAAGGTTTTTATGGATACTGAGTTAATTTGTAGACAGTGTTTATCACAAATTAACGGCACTTGAGGTACAGTTAAAACCTAAGTAATATTTAGCAGCTATTATGTCCCGATTCGAAACTCCAAAGATCTCTAGTGTTTTGTGATTTGCAACGATGTTAAAGGTGATATCAACCTGTGATGAATATAATGTACAGTCCATTTAATTTCGAACTTACTCGCCTTATTGGTATGAAGAAGACTAAAATCTGTAGTACTTGAGTACGACATTATACAGTTTTTTAAGTGAGTAAATGTTCTTTAAAGTAATCACTCTTATTACATTGGAATTAAGGAAGTTAAAGACTTGTTGGTGAAAACCTTTAATCTTCTGTAAAGTTTAATAAAGACGTTAGCATGTGTTGCAGTTAAACTATCCAATGTTCATAATCACAATATATTTATCGACCAAGAAAATTATTGTTGATATTATTTATAAAATGTGATTTAAATAGGAGATGGCTATTGTAACTCACAGTTCAAATAAACAATCTGTTGGTGTTTTTAGAGGTTAACAATAGGAACAAATGTAATCGTATTTGGACAGTTAATCTTAAACTGATAGAAATAAAATTTTAATAATCTCATTCATAGATTACTGCCAGTTAGAATCAAATAAAACGTTGATAACTCTGATAATCATAATGATATTATTATGACGTCAAAGAAGTTAACCAAATTTGAACATCTTGGTTATTTTTTAGTAAATCTAAACAAATATATGTATTGAGAAAATTATAGGCAAAACCTCAGAGTAAGTTTTATACCTAAGTATTACACAGGTACAGTTAGAGATCTTTTTATGGAAATTTACGGAGAAAAAGAGTAATTTTTAAAATGATTTACTAAGTGAATGTCACAGCTCTATCGATAAGTGAGCAGTCAATCTACAGTTGACTAGTCATTCTCCAAACGTTATATACATGTTAGATGATTGAAGGTAGTCAGTAGGAAGATTTGATGAGATGCGTCATGCATGCTGATGCAACTCTCAATACTCAAAGTCATACATCAAAACTATAGCTTCTGTGAATAGAAAACATTTAACTAAAACTTTTAAGATTACGAACTTACTTTAACTATGTCTTTGAACCCTCGTCGAGGAGCATAGGCCGCCCACGAGCACTCTCTATCCAACTCTGTCCTGAGCACTCCTCTCCGGTTCATTCCACTTGACACTCATCCTTCTCATGTCTACTTCCGATTCCCGATGCAATGTTTGCATTGGTCTTCTACTTTTCTGTCTCCCTTCAGGATTCCAACCTAGGGCTTGCTTCGTGACACCGTTCGATGATTTCCGTAACTTTTCCTGATGCTGACAGTAGTGTGATGCCTCCGTAGTTCTCACATTTGCTCAGATTTCCTTTCTGTTTTATCTTGATGGGGGGTCACTGCTTCCGGTCTGTTTTTTTAATCTGGTTGGTGTATTTTAGCGAAATTGTTTTCTACATGATGGGGTTGCCGTCTCTATACTCAACCCTCCTCCTTTGCTCGGGCTTGTTACGACAGTAACTCTAGAAAAGCTACAGGCTGAATTAGACATTCTAAAATAAAAGGCATATATTCAAAGTGGATCATATTGTTTTATAATGAGTTTAAAAACTGACCTTTTTTTCTTATATATCCTCCGAATATAAACTTTTATGTTCTGTTACTTCAAGGGCTGAATATGATTGTTTTCAAATCGAATTATCTAAAAATTATGGTATGAATGACTGGCGTGAAGATTTGAAAAAAATAATGATGAAGGCCGGTATAGAAAATAAACCAGTAACATTTTTGTTTTCTGATACACAAGTAAGGAAAACGTTTCCGTTTCTTTAGAGCAATGTAATCTTTAAATTTTTTCGTATTGTTTTTTTGAATCTTCTCTTTGTCGTTTAGAATTACAATTGACCATTTCTTATTCGTATATGTACATTCTTTGTGGATTGCCTCGATATTGCCTTAATTTACAAGCATTATAAGCAAAGATGGATGGAAACTAGGAGTGGAATTCAGGACTCATCGACTGGATTTACCTGCACTCTGGAGTGAATGTCAACTCTGGGAAACAGGCACATCCAGCTGACGAGCTCCAAATGGAACGAAACACGCGTCCTGGATTCTGCTGCTAGCCACTATTCATCTTTACTTATAGTTCAATCTTTTATGATTGGAAAATAAATCCATGCATGAACTCTGATAATTTATTGATTAAGTTGACTTGTTCATGGATTTACAATGTGCTGGTTTGTGATGTGATACAATTTGCAATAACGAGTCAAAGCTACATGTACCGTCTATCAATCGTTCTGAACTAGTCTGAAATATCCGGTCAGGAAAGTTAACGATTATTCTTCCACTTAACAATTTGAAACTGTTAAACAGATTAAATAATTGATTGAGACTCGTGTTTTGATGTTTAGAAAAAATGATCTGTCTTTTTGGAGAGATAAAAAACATCAAGTGTCAATTGACTTTTATGTTATCCTAATAAATACTAGTCCGTACACGAAAATCATCTACAAATTACAAATTTACAAGACTTTTTTGATAAATTTTCTGATTTGAATTGAAATGTAACACCAATCGACAGTTAGAATAATAATTTTACATTTAGCTCTAAGTGAATTTTTAAATACAGACCTTTGAATATTGACATGATATGTAAAGGTTGAACCTGAAGATCCTGGGTTACACTCCTATCAAAGTCTTGAATGCTTACCAGTAAGGAGTCCCATACTGGGATGAAGTTGTCCAATACTTTATTGCTTTCCACAATTGCTTAACTAAGACCAGTCCCGTAATTTAAAGTATGGAAAACTCTCACTAAACTTTATTTGATTGCTAGTTTGCTTAAATATCTCATTATTTCCTTGTGACAACGGATACTTTTTTCTCTTTCATGATCATTATTATAGATAAAATCAGAATCGTTTCTAGAAGATATTAATAATATTTTAAATGCTGGTGATGTACCAAATATATATCAGTTAGATGAATTAGACAAAATATATGATTCTATGAAAATTGTTGCCGCTGAATCAAGTTTACAACCAACTAAAACTAATTTATTTTCATGTTATACAAAACGTATACGTGCTAATCTACACACTGTAATTACAATGAGCCCTATTGGTGAAATATTTCGTGCACGTTTAAGACAATTTCCAGCATTAGTTAATTGTTGTACAATTGATTGGTTCAGTGAATGGCCAACGGAAGCTTTAAAATCTGTTGCATTTAAAATGTTACAAAATATGTCTGATTTAGAAATTGACGAACAGACATTACAATCTTTAGTACAATTATGTATAGATATACATCAATCAGTTGTACAAAATACAGAATTATTTAAACAAGAATTAAATCGTCATAATTATGTGACACCAACAAGTTTTCTTGAATTACTAACTGTTTTCTCTAAAATTTATGGATTAAAAAAATCTGAAATAATTACTGCTCGTAATCGTACACAAACTGGTTTAGATAAATTATTATATACAGAAGAAGTTGTTTCAAAATTACAAGAAGAATTAGAACTAATGAAACCAGAACTGTTAAAAGCTGTTGAAGAATCCAGAAAAACAATGGAAGAAATTTCACGTGATTCTAAAATTGCTGAAGAGACACAAATTGTTGTAGCTCGTGAAGAACAACAAGCATTGAAAAAAGCACATGAATGTCAAACGATTCGTAATGACGCACAACGTGATTTAGACGAAGCATTACCAGCTCTATATGAATCATTAGAAGCATTGAAATCATTGAATAAAAATGATATAACTGAAGTTAGAGCTATGATGCGTCCACCAGAAGGTGTACGCCTAGTCATCGAAGCTGTATGCATTATGAAAGATGTTAAGCCGAAGAAAATAGCTGGTGATAAACCAGGCTCTAAAATTGATGATTATTGGGAACCAGGTAAAATTATGCTACAAGATCCTGGAAAATTTTTAGATAGTTTAATGAATTATGATAAAGAAAATATTCCAGAGTATATAATTCATAAAATTAAACCATACATTGAATCTGAAAGTTTCTCACCGGCAACAATCGCCAAAGTTAGTAAAGCATGCACTAGTATTTGTTTATGGGTTAGAGCAATGTTTAAATATTATAATGTAGCAAAAACAGTTGAACCAAAACGTCAGGCTTTACAATCTTCTGAATTGGAATTAGCTGAAACTGAACAAGTATTAAATGAAGCAAGAAATCGTTTAAAAGCATGTGAAGATCGTATAACTAGTTTACAAATAAAATACAATGAATGTATACGTAAACAACATGAATTAGAAGAGAAAAGTCAATTATGCGAAGCAAGACTGATTCGAGCTGATAAATTAATTGGAGGTTTAGGAAGTGAGAAAATACGTTGGAAAGAATCTGTTAGTAATTTGAATTACTTATTAACTAATCTTGTTGGTAATGTACTATGCTCCTCTGGTTCAGTAGCATATTTTGGTCCATTCTCCGCTAAATATCGTTTAGACATGATTAATGAATGGGTGGATAAATTAAAGTATCATCATGTACCGCATACTACTGAACCAGCACCAAATCTAGTTCAAACATATGGTGATCCAGTAAGATTACGTAATTGGCATATACTTGGTCTTCCTAAAGATGCATTATCTATTGAAAATGCTGTGATTGTACAATTTTCAAGACGATGGCCATTGTTTATTGATCCTCAAGGTCAAGCAAATAAATGGATTAAATCATTAGGCCAACCAGATGGTATTATTATTATCAAATTATCTGATAAAGATTTTATACGTAATTTAGAGAATGCTCTTCGTTTCGGTAAACCATGTTTATTAGAAAATGTTGGAGAAGAGCTAGATCCAGTTCTCGAATCAGTCCTATTAAAACAAACTTTTAAACAACAAGGTGCAACAGTTATTAAACTTGGTGATGCAATAATACCATATCATAATGATTTCAAATTGTATATTACAACAAAACTGTCTAATCCACATTATAAACCAGAAGTTTCAACTAAAGTGACTGTTGTAAACTTCACTTTGTCACCAAGTGGTTTAGAAGATCAATTACTAGGCATTGTTGTTGCTGAAGAACGTCCAGATTTAGAAGAGGCTAAAAATCAATTAATTATAAGTAATGCAAAAATGAAACAAGAATTGAAAGAGATTGAAGATAAAATTCTGGAGCGCCTTAGTGCTACAGAAGGTTCACCCGTTGATGATATCGACTTAATACAAACATTAGAAGCATCAAAATTAAAATCAAGCGAAATTAAATCACGAGTTATTGCAGCTGAACAAACAGAACGTGATATTGATGAAACTAGAAGTAAATACATTCCAGTAGCAGTGAGAACACAAATTTTATTTTTTTGTGTTGCTGATCTGGCAAATATTGATCCAATGTATCAATATTCCTTGGAATGGTTTGTGAATATTTTTCTTCAAGGAATAACAAATGCTGAGAGAGCTGGTGTGTAAAACTAAAACTATTCCTTTTAATTATTTTGACTAATAATCTATGCTATTCGTTACTAGTAAACATGTTTTCTACAATGTGTTGTGGGCATTTTCATTTACAGCAGGTACTCATATTGATTATATTTTCCTTGATTTTAACTAAATAAATTTTGAAATTTAGGAAGTAATCAACATGTTTCATCCAAGTTCAATAATTCTTAGTTGTACACACCCACAATATCCTCATAGGTGATACCCAGGAATTTTTGGCCCAGCGCAGAGCGCTCTAATGATGGATTACCATTGTGAAAAAAATGTATAAAAAAGTAAACGTTATTGAGTTACTCTCTAATTTAAAAAAGCTATCTACTTTAATCATCTTAAATTGTTTTTAAAAATTACTTTTTTGTATAGCCTAGCAAAAGGTAATGAAAATAATCACATCAGAGATCGTGATTCTTTTGTTATATCTCATCGTTTTGATGTTGACCATTAAAGTAAACCATTTTGGTAGGTAAATTTTTACCACGAACTGAATTCAATTAGAGACACATTTAAAATCAATAAAAGTATTGTACAGATAATTTACTCCTATTCGAAAGGAAATTTCCTCTAAGAAGACCTAATACATTCGGGATTTTTATAATGAATGATCACTAAAAAAGGGACTTATTTCTTTTTTGTCTAAGCCTTTTATTAATAATTCTAATGGAATGACTTGTTTTGGTAAGTAAGTATTGCGTAATAATATTTGCACGTTAACTAGTTTTGAGTTATTTGAGGAAAAACCCTTAAGTCACTTTTTATATTTGTAAGTACACATCACTAAGGTTCTTATGTTTTCTTAGTAGGAATTATTCTTAGGATGAGGACCTATCAGCAATAAGAGTTAAATCAACAACAAATTAGTTTCTATTTATTCAGTGTTCAGTATGAGAAAATTTAAGTTCAACAAGAACCCAGTCGTTAAATTAATAGTTAAATAGTAATGTGAAAGACTGTAACATTAGTTGCTATTAGTTCGACTCTCTACAAAGAGCATCACATTCTTCCATTTAAAATTTTACTTCATGATGAGTACCAGTTAGTTAAAAGCTTACGTTTAGAGATTTCTACTAAATATCTCCAATTATGTAACATTTAAATTTTCCTATGCTTACAAATTCAATGAATTCTACTTCAAAGAATGGAAATGTTTTCCTTCATTTACTGTTTGTTTTTAGATTTTGTTCCACAACGTGTAGAAAATATTAATGATTATTTCACATTTAGTTTATACTGTAATGTATGCCGAAGTTTATTTGAAAAGCATAAATTGATGTTTGCTTTCTTGTTGGCTATCCGAATATTACAAAATGAGGGTTTAATTGATTCTGTAAGTAATGTATGATACAATTTTATTATTATTATTATTATTAATGTAAAAATATTGAAATTATTATAATTATTAATTCCATTGTAACAAATGTTCATTGAAAAATGTCTGGTTAATACGTTTGAGCATTTCTTGTTAGATATGAAAGCAGTTTCAATCAAAATTATCATCAGTAATTAGTAGCATTTTAAATATGTCATTAAGTTAAACACAATGCTCTCAAAATTTATCCTTCAGTGTGAGATTAGTAAATTAAACTAATGTTGGTCGTATGAATACATAGGGTTAGTCCTTAAAATTAATGACAGCTGATGGAAAATAGATTCAGTGAGTATAAGCTTTCAAATTGGGATTCATTGAAAAAGTATGGTTTGCTATCAGAATAGTGAGTGAAATACCTATCTACGACTGGTTTTATTATTTCTATGCATATTGGTAATTTCTCCACTAGATAGATTGATATTCACTGTAACAATCCGGATCTATTTACATTGTTGCCAGCCGATACATACCCTATGGCTCAGTATTATCAATATGTGTCTGAAAAAAATAATATCGGGATGTATGCTACTTATGTCTGTCGACATAAGTAGAAATCCAAAAAATCCAATTATTGTTCATAATTTTATCTATTTTGATGGTACTGATTTAGGTCATTACTATAGTTCTCATAATATCGTCTATGCTTATCTGAATGATAATAACTGTTGGTGTTAATCTTCATCAACTCCTTGCTAAATAGTCGATAGATGAGTCTTCCAACTCATCATTTGAACTTAATCTGATCCAGCAAAATAATTATTCAAACTTTCAGAATGAATAATTGCTCAAAGGATTACATTAATGAATCCGATTTCCCAGGTAAAAGAGTAGAATAATGGAAGACAAATGAGATATGAATAAGTTAACTTCAACATGAAAGCCCTTAAGTAATATTATATTCAAGGATGAAAGTACTATGAGATGATCATGAAAATTTAATCCCACATGATAGATTCAATTTCTATAATATGGTTAACGCAATAGTGCTGTTTTTATCATTATACTAGATAGCAATCTTAGGACGACTTACTAAATAATTCGACAGTCTCTTCTGATAATCTGATATATGGTCAATAGTATTCGTTAAATATATTTTCCAACTAATTTCTTGCGCCCGCAAACCTGATGAGAAAGAAAATATAGATTAAAAAGCCAATTTTATTTCTTATAATGTCAATTATATAGTTACCATCATCTATGAATGTCTATAGACAAGCTTGCTAGCCCAGAAAATGAGATATAGATATCGACTTTGACAGACTGAACAACTGACTTGCTGTCAATATCCCGCTAACATCTATATTTCATTTTTAAAGTGGCCAAATGAGTGATCAGTCTGGTTTCACTGAATAAAGCATATACTACTTAGATAGATAGTTAGTGATCTAATTTTTCGGGTCGTAGTTACTTCGATATATTGTTTTAATAAATTTTAAAATGAATCTATGTGTGTAAATCACATTTCCCTGATCAGTTTGAATGAAATTCTAAAACTTTGATTATCTTCACTTAATTATTAAGACGGAGTGAATTTTGACATGTATGCATCTCAATTAATCAAAACTATTGGAGAAATCAGTTAAAAAGTAATCTAATCTACCGACTCCCTAAAAAAGAATTAAATTTTCATGAGATCTAAGTTCTATCAAGTGCTCTATGACAAGACAGTTTATAATTTTCATTGCCAGATTTTTATGATCTACCAATTGTTAGTATTAGACTTTCTAAAGTTATTGATATAGAGTAAAATCTTTCCACCATACTCTGTACCTTTTATATCTTATCAGATATAGATTAATTACCAAAATTAACCTTGAATTCACAAACCACTTTGACGATAACTTGTAAAATTCCAGTCATTCTTCGACTTTTATGGTTGAGTGTTGCATGAATACCTCTGTTTTATACTAAATACTAGTTATATGTATGATGCTTAGTTATACCACTGAAGAGGGTGAGGACTTCAAATTCAAAAAAAATTGTTGCAATCAGTTAAGCACACGTAATGTATGGCTCTAATTTAACAGATAGGTAGTTTAGTGGGATCGTGAATACATCATGATGAGGTTAGTCAAGAGACCTGTTATGTCTTTTATAGTTGAAATCTGATAAGAATCTAGTGATTCTAGATTATAACATATTAAAGTTATTCACAATAAAGCTTATTAAATACTCATGACTCCATTGTATATATGAATATGTTGAAATTTTGTTTCCTGTTCAAGGATGAATATCGTTTCCTACTTGCTGGAGGTACTCACAAAATCAAAGAATTACCAAATCCAGCACCGGAATGGATATCCGATCGGATTTGGGGTGATGTATTAAATCTTGCCTCCCTGCCTAAGTTTACCAATCTACCGGAAAGTATGACACAAAATCCTGATCAATTTAAACAAATTTTTGATTCATCTGAACCACATAGAACTATATTCCCTGAACCATGGCAAGCAAATTTAGATAATTTTCAACGTATTTTAATTCTACGCTGCCTTCGAGCAGATAAATTAACTAATGCTATGCAAGATTTTGTCAGTCAACATTTGGGTCAAAAATTTGTTGAACCACAAACTGCAAATCTTCATCAGGTATTCAAAGATAGTTCACCGTCAACTCCATTGATTTTCGTCTTATCACAGGTTAGCAAAAATGTATTTATTTATTCTGTTTAAACGTTTTCAATAAGCCATTTAGCGTAATTCATTGTCATTGTAATTAATCTTTATTACTAACTTAGAAATGATATAAAAATAGTTTTCCTTAAAATAGTGAATTTTCATTTTGTTATATCAGTGGAATGCTTAACTAAATTGTTGTTAGTACTGAAACAGCGAATTCGACGCTGCATAGTAAAAACATAAAGACTAGTGATATGGACATATCTGACCTAGAAATAAACCAAAATGACATTTGAATACACCACATTTTAAGTGATTAATTTATTGTCAGATTTGTGTAACTTTAACTGAGTATTATCTAACATCAATCGACCAATAAATTACGATGTGAATATATTTCGATATCATATAATTAAGCATCTAACTGATTTATAACTAATTAAGTTAGAGCGTTAGTATCTGAAGGGAGTAAATAATTATGTAATTAGATCATAATGTCAAAACCATTAAAGGGAAAATAGAGACTTTTAGTATTTTAGGCTAAATTCAAAGGCCGTTTCCGATTAAATTCCCCTTATCTATAACATTGTAAAAGATACCTTGTTTCACAGCTAGAATTTTTTTTAAACCATTATATGGTGAAATTGCTCAAATGCTCTCTGAAACCTGTAAAAATAGAAATTGTGACAGTTGAGTTCATGGGTCTGTGGTGGTCGGTATTCCATATAATCCTTAAACTCCATATACAGTTCGTCTTGATAACCGTCACTAGATAACACCCCAACAGTATATTAATCAGAAGGCGAATACGAAGTGTTGATTACGTTTATTATGGGACCACACATATATCCAAAATTACACGTGCGTTAAACAAGCATGAAAGAGTTGTTCCGGAAGCCAAGCAGTCAAGCGAGCGAGTGAGCCAGCGAGTACAATTAGGCGAGAAAGAGCAGTGAATATGAATAAAATGGTTATATATATATATATATATATATATATATATATATATATATATATATATATATATATATATATATATATATATAGTGAAATGAATGAATCATCGAATCAATTTAGCGGTGAGTAGTAAGGCTAGCAGCGTGAATAAATGCGTAGGCAGTAAGCAATGCTCAAGCATACGTGTTCATACATTCGCAACAATAATAAAGGTACAATAATATAGATAAGTTGTTGTTGTACGGATGACTCAGTTCGTTAATAAGTTAACAAAATGACTTAACTAAATCAAATGTGAACAAACTCGATTGCACGTGAGTTGCTATAGTTCAGTTTAAGCTGGACCACCAATCAAAACCCAGAAGCTTTCAAGTTTCGAATGTTGGTTCAGCTTAGATTGACCCATGAATTCAACTGTCAAAATACTACAATCTCCACAAATCCCCATACTAAAAATAAGTTGTTCAAAGTAAACTATTATAAAAAAAATCATGCCAATATTCACGCATGCAATCATAGGCATTCTTGTTTCGCATAAGTTGTCCGAAATCACTAAGATCTTTACTTACGTATTTCACAGACAATTGTCCAGTTATATCATTTCATTGATATTTCTGGGGAGCTTAAAGACCAAAATGAAAGTTATTAGAAATTTTTTATAGCTTAATTAAAGACTAGTAAATACAAACATTCTCATTGAATGTGTGTTTTTATTAAAGTTTATTTACTTTAAGATAATGAGAACAGAATACAAACCTTGAAGAACTCACTATTTGTCCAGGATTATCACATTCACTCAAATTCTCATTGCCTGTTTTAATGACAAACTCTTGATTTGTGAGGTCTTTTCTGCTTATAGTTCGATTTAAGTAGTTTGAAAAATTTAACGTCATTTTTCACTGTCATTCAAGTTGGGTAGCATGGCATACACTCATTGAGTTATTTTTTATCTACGTGTACAAAATGGTTTAAAGCCTCAGTAAAGAAGATTAATTTACTGAATATATAGAAAAAACCTCATATTAATCAATCAAAACAATCATACATCATATTATAATCGATACTACTTACAGTAATCAAACGGCAAGTTAATTTTTCTCCAATCACTTACTTAGGAAATGGATATCTTATTGAGAAAGGTATTCAAAAAAGATAGTCTGATAACTGTTGATGAATTTTAATTTATAGCAACTCATTCTTAAAAGTTTACGTAAAAAATCATCTGGAAATGTAAATCAGAAAAATATTCCACGAGACAAATTATCATACAATTTGTTGTGGCCAACCTATTTACTTACCTAAACATTATGGTTCAGTTGAAAAGTCATTATAAATCAACGTAGATGTATACCACTTTGAAACATAAAACGGTTTATTTCATTGTATCAAATAGCATCTGACGGTATAGCTTCAGAAGTAAATCATGTAACCATCCGAACACAAGTTTGATGACCCTCAGAAACCGTATGTATTTTGTTCATTGAAAAAATATAATGCTCTTAACTTTTAAATTATTATTTTCTGCGTTACAATTTGTATTACTGGGAATGAGTAATGTTTTGAATTAGTTGACATTTACAAAAATTTAATTACAGGGTACAGATCCAGCTTCAGATTTATACAAATTTGCTGATGAAATGAGTTTTGGGGGAAAAAAGTTGTCCGCTATTTCTCTTGGTCAAGGACAAGGTCCGAGAGCTGAAGAACTTATGCGAACAGCAATGGAACGGGGTGTATGGGTATTCTTCCAAAATTGTCATTTAGCTCCGTCATGGATGCCAACATTAGAAAGACTTGTTGAGCAAATTGACAAAGATAAAGTAAGTTTAAAAACACTTGTCTTTCTCAATATGGTATAAACGAAATAGTCATTAGCACCAATCAGTTTAACACCAGTGGGAAACTTAATCGAATAAGTTGATCGTTCTATTTAGTTCAGGGATTATGTCGATATTGATGAACTGGTTGTTCATTAAGTCTTTGCACTGATCCACACTAAACGCCTAACTTTTGTCTATCTATTCTTCACTGTGCATCATTGCATCCTCATTAAAATATGTTTTACATATATTAGTTCATGATTTACAGAAAGGCTTAAATTTAACTACCTGAAAAATAGGCTAAGAAAGGGTTTAGTGAAAACTTTCAGGGTTTACACACGTTTTCAAATTATTGAATATATTTCTAACGTACCATGTTTATACGTGATAAAATACGAGCCTCATTCCAAACAAAATTATCATGAAATAAGTAGACAAACATCTTGTGTCAAATTTCTCTATTATGGTAGTTGGATTGATACATATACACAGAAACCATTTTGTTTATACATCATATAAACTAAAGCAATTTAAAGCAAGTTAAAAATTATTCAGAGTATCAAGTTATAATGTGTTTTATTTATATTTAGTCTTAAATTAAAATTCAATTTTTTGCAATATATGCTAAACCTAAATAATGAATTGAGTCTAGAAATTATATAATCAGTTCAATGTATTGATTTAATGTATTCTGCATTGATTGCTAGGTACATCGTGATTTCCGATTATGGTTGACAAGTATGCCAAGTCCAGACTTCCCTGTTTATATTTTACAAAATGGATCAAAAATGACGGTTGAACCGCCTAAAGGTTTAAAAGCTAATTTATTAAGAATATATCAATCAGTAAATGATGCTTATTTAGCGAATGTACCTGCTAAGGTTTGTTAATAATAGTTATACTGACTATTATTATTATTAATATGATAATGATAATTGCTTTTCTTTTTAAACACATTAGTTCAGTTCATTAATAATTTGTATCACGAAATAGCACCGCCTTAAGAACCAATAAAAATAAGGAAGGCCTGGACAGCTATTTCGTTTCACCTACGAGATTGTTCAGCTTTGAACTCAAACGATCTTAGATTAGACAGAACCCATCACTTACGAGTTTTGTGACAAGCACAATATCTATAGATTATTACGTTAGAATCTATCCCTCTACACTTTTGTCTTTAATTATTTGGTGGCAAGTTACAAACAGCAATGCGTAGCTGCTTTACTTTCTGTATGAGTGAGCTTTACCAGCCAGAGTTTTTTATTGAGAGGTAAAGAACCTGGCTCGAAACTAATAGCTAGTTAGGATGTAAAGTTTCTTTGTTTAACTATTTTGTGGAGAATAGTTTGATTAAAGTAGTTTTTGTCAGAGACATTATTTTTCCAGTGTTTCGTAGCTTCTATGCTTCTACACTTACTATTCACATTAGTTGAGTACTTATTAATTATCTTGTTAGCAATCAAATTATTAAGAGATAGTTGATTGTTTAAGTTAGCATTAGCTAAAGAACCGTTGTGAAACAGGAGACAATGGAATAATTCTGCTTCGTACAGTATAACTTGCAAGCAGTACATGTATTTGACACCATATAAAACTCAGTACAAATTCATTGTAAACGAGTATATTCTCATTTTCATGAAATATTTGCATAAAATATTCAATTTAAATTTAATTTACATCATAGACTAAGACTTATTAAGCCAACCTTTTACAACCGAAGAAGCATCAAACAGTTTATTTTGCCTCAGTTTGAGACATCATACTGATAAATAAACTATCTTTTCAACACTGATGAAACTCAAGACCTTTAGGTCTGGTGATGTATGTCTTTTACTTCGGCCATTCAGTGATTTCTACTTCCATCTTTAATCAGTTTATGATATTGGCATCAGTTACACCTGTCTCACACTTGATATGATCGAACTCTACTATTAATATGTATTAGCTAGAACATCAGGAATTTTGAATAAAGTTAATCACCAATCAGCATATAATTATTTATTTTGGAAGATAGATCAGGATGTTAACTGTTGACCTATTTTCTTTCTTTTATGTTTCTCTCATTTCAGAATGATGTCTTTCGGCATCTATTTTTATCATTAGCATTTTTCCATGGTGTATTAATTGAACGTAAAAAATTCGGTCCACTTGGATTTAACATACCATATGAATTTACAACTGGTGATCTAAGAATATGTATGGATCAGCTAATAATGTTTTTAGACGAATATGATGTCACACCATATAAGGTAAAAAGGGAATTAATTCTTTTTTGTCATAATAAGGAATTATTTTGATAATGATATGAATTTATTTATTTTTCTTCTTCTGCATTACACAATGACTAATTAGATGATTAACAGTAGTTTAGTGGTTCGAGACACGACTTTTAGTCAGTATGTCGCTGGTTCGAACCCCACCCCAAATACTACGGTTTTAACAGCTGAATAGTACCGCTGAGTCTCATATAAGCCATCTGATTTACAGCAGAGTACTCGATGAAAAGTTCTACTGTGTAAACCATCTACAATATTATTATTAATATCGTCATCACCATGAATAACAACAACAACCAGTTGAAATATTCGAAGTAGAGGTGATAGAATGATGTTCTCTTTAATATTCCACTCATATTCTTATCAAAATAAGTTATAAACACTAATAGACATGTAAATATACGGTAAGTTAAGGAATTTACATTAGACTTATAATTCTGTTATGCATGTTTTATAAAATGACGTGGGGATAATTTGTTTAAAAAAGGAATCTTAATAAGCCCAACTAACTAAGTATATTCCGTGCACTAAGTTGTGTTATACTTGGTTAGCATGTGTTTGTGTGAAGGACAGAAAAACTAACCAGTTCGCATCATTAAAGCCACAAGGGTGGTTTTCAAACCTGTGACCTATCAATTTAAGAATAGACCTCTAAAAGTAAGCATTATAACAAACGATATTCTTCCACAGCGTACTGATTTAATTCAAAAAGAAATTATTCAATCAACCATACTACTCCGAATATATTCAATTAGTTTAGATTTATGATAAAAAAGTATCTCATATATAATTAATGTCATAAACTTCTATTCATATTCAAAGGTTCTATGTTATACAGCTGGACATATTAACTATGGTGGTCGTATAACAGATGACTGGGATAGACGGTGTGCAATGACTATATTAGATGAATATTATTGTCCTAAAATATTAGGAGATAATTACAGTTATTCAGAATCAGGTATATATCATCAGTTACCGGGAAATACAGATCATGCTGTAAGTTCACATTATTGAATTATATCACAGTGTTAAGAAACTCTTGATATATGTTTATTTTTCTACTTGCAAACATTGATTTACATCATGACAGATTAACAAACAGAGAAACAAGTGAGAAATAAATGAATAAAATAAATAACGATAACTGGAAAAATGATTATGATGGTTTACCGTACGTTTCAGCTACCAATCAGGTCCCGAATGAACTCGAGAACTGAAAACATACGAATACATTGGAGTGGATCAAAATAATTACAACTGATCCGCTTCAACAGTTAGCTGAACTGTTTTATTAAACTTGGCTAGGTGGATATTCTGCACGTTCAGTATAAAACAACAATAGTTGTATCTGACTAACTGTTTAGTCTCTTGAGATATCGTATGGTCTGTTAAGTTAATGATATGTACACAAAAGTGGACAAATAGGTAAACTCATTCAGGTTTTAAGTTAGTAATTAGAACATTTATGATAATTTTAATAACCGATTTTGATTACTGAACTATGAGTCTTCGATTTCTGGTGCATACCAAATGTTTGACTTGAAATGGTCATTCTATTTTAGTGATAAAAGCAGAACACATCGATTTATAGCAATCAAGATTACAAATAATTAAAGTGATCCAATGAAAATTCTTCTCGTAATTAGGATCAACAAGATTTTTCTAATTGTTGTGCTTAATTTGCTTTCCTTATAAAACTATTATTAATCAGTAAACTAATGTTTAGTATGTTTGATCTCGCTATGGTTCACTTAGAAATGGATTTTGTTAGTTTTATATTCATAAATGATTTAGCTAAATGAAAGTGTAAATGAAGAAGCATAAAAATGACTGCTGTTGTGATTCAATCTTGGGAACATTTTTTTAGAAAAAAATACGGAAGACGATTAATTACCCTTTTTATTCAAAAGTGACTTAAAGAAAATTGATTTCTATTTTCGTTATCCAAACTAATTAAGGGTGATAAAACTCGTTCTTAACATTTTAAAGAGACTGATGGGAAGTCATACAAAACTTAACATTTCACGTAGTTGTATAAGTTTTTAAGGTTAAATATCTGCTGACAATGATATTAGATCACAACAAATTACAAGGTGAAATGTATGTCAGATAAATTGATAATTTGCCTACTGGTTATCATGCAGAAAAAAAATTAAGTATCTTGATGATCCAAAAAACACAACCAATATATGTTTGAAATTTGAATTTCTGCGCCTATTTTAATGTTATTTCTTACGAATAGTTCACCTAGAGCTCCTCTAGAGTATGTTCTGATCCGAAGCCTGGGTGGAGAAGGATTTAGTGTAAGTTATTCTCATCCTGTAAAAAAACCTTGATGAAAAACGCTAACCAGAAAAAAACGTTATTTCTCAAAAAAGGTAATTTTCAAATTATTAGTTAGAATTTATTACGTATTTATCCTTATTAACTTTCTACCATTGAAATTTTCCACATCTTTATAGTTCGTTTTTTTTACTTAATGACTAAAACATTAAATCATAGGTATACCTTGATTACATTCGAAGTTTACCAATTAATGATCCGCCGGAAATATTTGGATTACATGAAAATGCTAATATTACATTTGCTCAGAATGAAACTTTTACACTATTAGGCTATTTATTATTGTTGCAACCAAAAACATTCAATACATCTGGACATGGAAAACAAAGTGAAGAGATTGTTGAAGAAATTAGTCGTTCACTATTAACAACATGTCCACAATTATTTGATTTATCAAGCATAATTCAAAAATATCCAGTTATGTATGAACAGTCTATGAATACAGTTTTGACACAAGAAGTTATCAGGTAAGAAGAGATATGTACGTACATAATAGATGGATTGATATTTATTGTGTCTTATAAAGTACTGATTTTTCGGAAGCAAAGCAAATACTAATTAGTGGTAGTAAACATAATTTACATTCAGAAATTGCTTCGACCTTGTTTGTTTCCTTGTCGCGCTACTCTGTACAATACATTAGAAATAGACAGTTTTTGCAGCCATCATTAGCTGTCCTCAATTAGGTAGGATTCATGAAGTAGCGTTTTTAATTAGCATTGAAACGACTCTCTAACGTATGTGGTCGGAAAGATCATTTAGACGATGCTAGACTTCATTGTTTATTTCATCAGAATTTCACTCAACAGAAATAAAAATGTTAGATTTGTTACATAACCAGCTACTTTTCCCCATAATTTAATTCTTTAACACACAAGTCACAATAAGGTGTAAGTCAGTGTAGTAAAATTTTATCTTTAAGTTATAGTATGTAATGTCAAGACGAGAGAGTTTAGATCCTGATTCCTATATGCTCTCCATTTGAGTACATATAAACTCTCCACTTTCCAGTTATATCAAATGAAATTTATGACAACGTCGGAAATTCCATTCTCACCAAAAGTTTAATCTTTTAGATATCAGAGTATCATCATGTTCGTATGTCATTCCTTATTTCGGAATAAGGAAGTTCATATTCACTATTATTTAAAATTAGTGTTTTCCAACTCCTCTTGTGAGATATTTTCTGCACTACTGCTTTTTGCGATAATATTGGAAATTTGATACAATTAATAGGACTAACCTGTTCGCAGCTATTCAAACAAAAAATCAGATGATTAAATTTAAGGAAAAGTTATGTGATTACAAAATCTCTGCTTTGATGTTCAACATAATGAAGTTATCTTTATCCTGAAATAACGCCTATCGACGTCATGAATCAGCTCCAAACCTTTATTTGAACATTATTTGTTCAACTACTTGATTAGCGAGAAGAAAGCTTGTGTTTATTTGTCAAAATGAATGTACTGACACTATTATCATAAATCGGAAGAATTATATTTCAAAGCATCCTTCATTGCATTTGATATTAAAAAATCTTAAAAAACATTCAAAATAGTACTACAGAACAAATTCAGACGAAATTGATTGAAGTCTTTAAGAAAATAACTTAATTATTTACGCCTGCTACCCCTCGTGAATGAGCATAGGCCGCCCACGAGCACTCTCTATTAAGCTCTGTCCTGTGTGCATTGGTTTTCTACTTTTCTGTCTCCCTTCAGGATTCTAACCTAGAGCTTGCCTCGTGACACCGTTCGATGATTTCCGTAATGCATATCCTATCCACTTCCAACTTCTTTTCCTAATTTCCTCTTCAGCTAGAAGCTGGTTTGTTCTCTCCCACAATAGGCTGTTGCTGATGGTAATTGGCCAATGGACATTCAATATCTTGTTTAGACAATTGATTACAATTACTTGTACCTTTTTGATTATGGCTGTGGTGGTTCTCCATGATTCAGCTCCATACACTAGAACTGTCTTGACTTCTGTATTAAAGATTCTCACTTAGATGTTGACTGACAGTTGTTTTAAAATCCATGTGTGCTTCAACTGTAGGAATACGGCCCTCACTCTGCCAATCCTCGCCTTCACGTCTGCATCCGACACTCCGTGTTCATTGATTATGCTCTCCAGGTAAGCGAAAGATTCCACATCTCCCACAGCTTCCCCACCAAGTGTGGTTCAGATTGTGTGCTCCGTGTTGTATTTGAGGATCTTGATTTTCCCCTTGTGTGTGTTGAGGTCTACTGAAGCAAAGGCTTCTTACACACTGTTTGTCTCGACCTGCATTTATTGATGTGTATGGGGTAGAAGGATCAGGTCATCTGCAAAGTCTAAATCTTCTGATTGATTCCCAGCTGTCCATTGCATTCCGTACTTTCCCTTACACGTTGAAGTCTTCACAATCCGGTCGATCACCAGAACAACGAGGAAGCGGGAGAGTAATCAGCCTTGTCCGACTCTGGTCCTTACTTAAAATGCATCAATCAGCTGTCGTCCATGTACCACTTTGCATTGTAGTCCGTCTTGTGAATTCCCCATGATGTTGACGATCTTTTCAGGTGCTCCATAGTGTTGAGTAAGGTTCCATATTGTCCTCCTATCCACACTGTCAAACGCCTTCTCATGGTCAATGACTTTTATGTACAGTGACGAGTTTCATTCAACCGATTGTTCGACGATGATGCGTGGTGTTGCAATTCTGTCTGTGCACGACCGATGCTTACGGAATCTGGACTACTGACCTCGAAGCTGGATGTCTACTGAATCTTTCGTCCTGTTCAGCAACACTGTAGACAACTTTTGCTGTTACTGACAGTAGTGTGATTCCTCTGTAGTTCTCACATTTGCTCAGATCTCCTTTCTGTGTTGTCTTGATTGGATGTTCTTCTTTCCAGCTTGTCAGTGACGCTTGCTCTCTCTCCCAAATACTTTTGAATACAACGTGGAGCATGTTGCAGTTGCTCCTGTTGCTTTCGCACACTTGACTTGTCTGATGGCCACCCTGGTTTCTTCGATCGTTAGTGGAGTGATATCTTTAAGAAGGTCTGTGTGTACTGCTCCGACGGCCGGTGGATTCAATGGAGTTGGCCAATTCAAGAATTTCTCGGAGCGTTCTACCCACCTGTTCCTCTGTTCTTGAATCTCGGTGCTCGTATGGCCTTCTTTGTTCTTGACTGATTTTTCTGACTTACTATATTTCCCTGATAGTTTCTTAGTCGCGTCATACAGTTGTTTCATATTTCCTGCTATTTCAGCTTTTCCCGTCGTCGTTGTCAGTCTTTTCCCATATGTCCGCTTCTCAGCTCTTAGGGTCCTCTTCATTTGCTTGTTTGCTCCTGTCTATTCAGCTTGTGCCTTGACTTGCCCTGTTCTTGTTCGACTGTTTTTAATTACCGTCTTCCGGTTCTTCCCTTCTTGAATCTTGTCCAGGGTTTCCATAGAGATCCATTGTGTATGAAGTTGCTACTTGAGGCCCAGAACATCCTGACACGTTGATCACTTTGCAGTTGTCCTCCATATTGGATTCTTCTTCCTTCAGTAGATCTTGTAAAGCTTATAACCTGTTGTTGACAGTAATCTCGAACTTATTGAGCCTGTTAGTATCTTGAAGAAGGCTATATTGAACATTTTACTGCTGTTTCAACGTCGAGCTTAAATTCACTATTGTGTTCTATAAGCAAAACTGAAAAAATACCGATGGGTTCACCACATGGAGCACTTCTAGTTGATTGTTTCATTGTCAATCTCAAAAATATTAAACATAGACCAACAGTTGGCCGTCTTTTCTTCATTCAAAAAATATTTAGATCATACTTTTTATTTGTGGCGAAAACATTAATTTCAACGACATCCTGGGCAGGCTCAATAGATGGCATCAATCAATTAAGTTCGTAATGAAATCAGAGTAATATTTGGAATATACTTCTTAAATATTTTGTTAAAAGGAAATACCTGATGGTTCACTACAAAGATCGATATTTGTAGATGACCTTTCAGCGACGTCAAAGTGTCCTTGGGAGGATTCACCTACCTACTAGTGTAAAAAAGGATCATAAATTGTTGCTAATTATTCGAATTCAGAGTTAGAAGCTAAGTTAGGAAGTAAAATTATCATTACAAACATCAGTTATAATGCCAAAGTGCTATTTAACCGTGCAGATAGATGAATCCTAGACTTGCTGTCTTAAGTTTCATTGGTTTGTCCACAGATTATAATCTCGCCGATAGTTCGATTTCATTCTCTTATTTATGCTTTAGCTCAGGTAACCGATCTCTGTTTCTTTTATTCATTAAAAAAAATAGATACAATAACTTACTATCAACTATACAAACAACACTGAATGATTTAATCAAAGCATTAAAAGGTTTTGTAGTAATGTCAGCTAATTTAGAAGAAATGGCTAGATCATTATTTGATAACCGTGTACCAACTATGTGGGCTAGTAAAGCATATCCAAGTTTAAAACCATTAGCAGCATGGATAGAAGATTTAGTGATGCGTGTGAAATTTATTCAAGAATGGATCGATCATGGTGTGCCTAGTGTATTCTGGATAAGTGGTTTCTTCTTTCCACAAGCCTTTTTAACTGGAACATTACAAAATTATGCTAGAAAAAAAATTATTTCTGTAGATACAATTTCATTTGATTTTAAAGTAAGTAGTTCTTTTGTTGTTTTTTCGACAATGTTTCATGTTCAGTAAACAGATATTTATAAATCTATGAATATATACTTTCTTGACCTGTTTATAATCTACTTAGCAAGTAAAAAGATCTATTAGCTTATCATTTTATAAACTGTGGTCAGTTAGTCAGTATAATTGAGGTGATTAGATTAGTGTTACTACCATGAAACACGCTTTACATATCTAGGAAGTGCCAACGATAAACAACGGAGATCTGATGCAGATATGAAGGAATGGATTAGCAAAGCAAGGGGAACATTTCTACAACTGGAGAATGCCTGAGAGCCAAAAGAATTATCACCTAAAACCATAATCAGAATTTTTCATTCAGACGTCAAGATAGTTCTATTATACGGGACTGAAACTTGAAGAACGACTATCAAAAAGTATGGGCATTTATGAACAGCCGTCTATGCAAGATACTATACATCCGTTGGCCGAACAGCACTAGTAACAACTTATTTTGGCAGAAAACAAACCAACTTCCATTTGAGGAAGAAATTAGGAGAGGACGCTAGAGTTGGACAGAACTCATATTGCGGAAACCATCAAACTGCATCACGATGCAAGCGATAACTTGGAATCATTAAGGCGAAAGGAGAAAAGGCAAAGCAAAGGACACATGACTCCGGAAATAGGATGCAGGCATGAAGGACATGAGTAGCAGTTGATAAGGTCTAGAAAGGAAAGCCGAGGAAAGAATCGCTTAAAGAAACCTTGTTAGCAGCCTTTGCCCCACTAAGCGTAAAAGACTTAAGTAAATAATCCTGAAACCTAAAGTTCGGTGGTTTGAACAGATTTTGTGCATACTTTCTCAATGGGTACCATAGCATGTACTGTTAAAAAGTTTTTAGGTTGGAACACCTTGTACAATAGATAATTATGTGGGATTTACGCCACTCGATTTTTTCACGACAACTGAGATTGGATTCTGACCGTTGTGTAACTCATTGGCGTAAAACCTTAACAAGTATTACTCCAAACAAAAGTTAGTGACAACCTTGTTATATTTTTCTGTTATATTCCTCAAAAACAATTAGATGTACATTTTAACTAGATGAAGTCTACTTTAACGTTTTTTACCCAACATTTACTTATGAAAGATTACTTCTCTCTACGTTCTGTCTGTTTAGAATACTGAAAGTAAGTTTTGTGTAATACATTTCTTAGTACCAGATTGATAGAGTACTTTGACAATATAATAACAAGGAATTGGAAAAAAAGTTAACAGATTACGTATACGATCATTATGTGTATGTATCGGGTTAATTAACAACAAATAAACCCATTACAATGAACTTCAAACTAACACATGATGAAATGATAAATTAAAAGCAAGAAAGACAAATCATTAAGAAATTTTACATGTCGTAATTACACAACTAATCACAACCTTCATTTTATAGATGAACTACTTAACAAATCTCAGGTAAATTTTGATAAACTGAGTTTATTTTTAGGATTCGTTCACGATATTCTCTTGGATTATAGTAAGGACTTTAAGATCAAGCGACACTCAGATTATATCAAGGTCTTCAACGTCACTCAACAAGTATTAGAATAAGAATATGTATAAAAAGTATTTGTAACTGAAAAGAAGCATATTCAACTGTCTTAGCCGAATAAAACTAAGGACAAGCGCTAATTTAATGATTCTAGAAGAATAGCAGGGATCCATTTTATTTCATTTGGTTCATGCTATTCTGCTAGAATCTATGTTCTTGCTCTTTTTAAAATGATAAAAAGCAGTATGTGTATGAAACTAATTTAATTGTTTCATGCTTTTACTGATACGCTTTCTAATTCAAACAACACCACATATTGAGATAGACGTCTTGCCATGTAGTTCTTAGTACTCAGCCAGTTTAATTGAGGGAAATTCATAATTTAACCTAACGGTTTAATTTTCTCCTGTTGGACTCAACACTTAAACATTTTACTTCCGATGAACTCAATACATCGAATAAGTATGAAATGTAATTATTCAGAATAAAGAATATGAGGTTCATGAACGCAAAATGCAAGAAACTCTGGACTTATATGTCAAGCCTGGTGGTAGTTCTTAAAAAGTCCATCTCCAACTCTTAGGGGAAGTAACTCAGTAAAGTGTATCCTAGTCTATTGAAAAGATAAGTAACCTACTACAGAAAATTGATAAACTTCTCCATAAGAGTTAATAAGATTTTTAATTTAAATTCGGTTAATAAATACATTTTTAAAGATTATTATATATTTATTATTATTTTATACATGAATAGGTAATGAAAGAGAACAATGCGAAATTGAATAAATCACCTGACGATGGAAGCTATATTCGTGGCTTATATCTAGAAGGTGCTGGTTGGGATTCCACACGTAATTTATTATGTGAATCACGACCAAAAGAATTATTTGTCAATATGCCAGTTATATGGCTTGTACCGACAGAAAATCGTAAATCACCAAGTCAAGGAATTTATGAATGTCCAGTATACAAAACGTTAACACGTGCAGGTAATGTCTATTTAGTTATGGTCAAAGAATTTATAATAACAGTATATGAAATATAGATTCCATGTTGAGTTAGTATTCATTAAGGAATTGATAAAAATAAGGAAGCGCTAGACAGATGTTTTGTCCCACTTGGGTACTTTTCAGGAATGTGAACCCAGATATGAAATCGACCCCCTGTAGAATTAGGGGTGCGCACTATTAAGACAACTATTAATTCCGCCTTTATTCTCCGATTGACATCAGTCCATTACATATATACTCTGAAAATAATAATTACAGAATTCATGCCAGTTTGCAGGTATGATCAACTTGATATAGACAATAATGTTAAACGTGGGGAACAGACATGTGATATAGAACCCCATATAGACTAGCAAAGCTTCAAGTTCGACCAAATGAGTTTTACGATGAGATTTCAGATATATATTTGGTACAGTGATACAATTTTGAATGGTATTAAATTCCTTCATTAAATACGTTACATGTTACAACGTTGTCGTTAACATATTTGTTATAAACCGACACGTTTTTCAATAAATCTTTTGTTAACTCCCGACAAGTGCTTTACGCATGTCAGTTAGCAAGGTTCCTGAAGGACTAATCACAACAGCAGTTTTTCCAAAATACCTGTGTTGGAATGAAAACCAAACTTCATCGACAGACAATAATAAGTTCTTCATGATTGCAACACTAATAAAAAATAAATGGTTGCTCAAGAAGATATAGCCAAACAGGATATTGACAGCTTTTATCAGGGATACCTATCTACACAAATACGAAACATTAAGCAACTAGAACGTCTGCCTATTTTTAGCCCGTTATTGGTATCACCTCACAAAATTTAAATGTAGTAATACGTAACAACACGATACGTGTCTTAGAATGTAGTTTAATCTATAGTATCGGGTAGTAGATATATTTAATGTTACCACATATCAAACTTAAAGTTTTATGCGAATATCTTGATGTTAATCCAGTGATAGTCGTGTTTCGTAAGGATGAATGAGAAGTAAGTTTAATAACTTACAAGATGTCCAGGATGAGTGGATGAATAATGAAAAAAACTATAAATTACACTAAAAATTCTAGTTGTCTACATCAAATAAATCAATGATTCAAACGTTTGAAATGACTCATTATTAGTATATTTTACTCTACACTTGCAGGAACTCTATCTACTACTGGTCATTCAACAAATTTTGTATTTTCCATTGAAATTCCAACTGATCAACAACAAAAGCACTGGGTTCAGCGTGGTGTAGCTTTATTATGTGCATTGAATTATTAAAACAATTAACACATTTGTACTGTTTAAATATAGAAAAATACAAATCGGATACCTTTGAGAGAAATGAATACAATATTATTATTATTAATCATACATATGTATCTGTTCTTTGCATTCATTGCATTATTTTAATTATAATTAACACATCTTAAAAGAGAAGTAGAAAAGTAGAAAAGAAATTCAAAAGAATTAGACAATGATGCAATATGTATGTATGTATCGTCGGTTTCCACAAACAGTTCTATTCTAGCATTTATCCCCTTCGGGGGACTGGCATTTATAACTCTCGTTTATAATAACTGGATAGAAGTTTGTTTAAAGATTTAAACTAGTTTACTCTCCAAGTACCTGAATTTGAGCTACACTATAAGTGTGAGGACTAGTGATACTATCTGTTTACTTAAACCGAAGTAGGTGGAGCATGGGTCCAATCTGCAATTCAGTAACTGAAAGTCGAACGCCATAACAAATAAGCCACCGCTCAAGACGTTTATACATATATACACACATATATGGTAAAAATAAATCTCTTATGCGCTTCTGTTGATTGATATGTTTACGTGTGTAAACATGGGAGAGAAAACTCTCAAAATAATATTACGACGACTGTAGTACATAAAGTCAACTACTACTGATGAGCGGATAGCTCAGCCCAATATAATTGTCCAAAAGAAGCAAGTTTATCAAAAGTAAATAAACTATTAGCATATTCAAAACAAACGTTATATTTAAAATAAACTGAAAAATTGCAACGAAATACTGACAAATACAGTATAAAAACTGTCAATTATAATAAAAGAGGCTTTATTTCCTCTCAATATTACAAAAACAACCAATGGACAATTAAGTTAATAGTACAATGGAAATAGACAACCTGAGATTATCTACAAAATTCTCAATGTCCAATAAGTGTGACGTATCAATTATTTAAGTTGTTTTTATTGGAGATTTCACTTCCAGCTTCAACTTTTCACATGTTAATATTTGTCATCTGAGATTTAAGCCAGCGTTAAACACGTTTTCATAGCATACAATTAGAGATAACTCTAGTTGATTGAAATGAAATCTTCTAAGAAAGTTAAACTTTGATATGCAGTATTGAATAATTGGAAAAAAAATGATCGGAAATGATGGATAAAATACACCTTTTATACATTGAAAACGTTGAAGATAACTAGAGCCTAATATTATCCTCAGTTGTTTTCAAGTGAAAACAGTTATAATATGTGAAAAAAATCTACGAAATTCCGTTTAATGATTTTAATTGTATATCTTTTAAATTATTAACTAATTGAACACGTTGTTCTAATGACCATTGAGGATACCAAAAATGAAATAAACGTATTTGACATTGAAATATATCTGATGAATCTGATCTTTCAACAAATTCTGAATTAATTTGCAAATTCGTATTCATTAAATGTGCTAAGAATGTATCATTCATTTGATGACCAATAGTATTGTTCTGATGTATAGAACCATTGTCATGCTCATTGGTATTCATTTCACTTAATACGGATAATGAATCATCAATGGATAAATGATGATCTACTGTTTCGAGACAATTTAATGTAGAAAGAAATAATTCACGTTCAGAGTTGTTCCATTCAGAAAACCAATGAAGAACTAAACGTACCGCCTGAATTGGGGGTATTTGTATATTCATTGAAATTATTGGGTTCCAAGAAATCTTGACAAACTGAATGTTTCGAAATATAAAAGAATAAAGTTAAGAGTTTAGTAGTATCCAACAATTGCTTCTCATCAATTGAGAACAGGCTAAATTTGCCAAAAAAATATTAATATATCAATGGAGTTCAGACAGAAATTCAGTGAGATCACCAGAAGTTTAGTGGACATGAAGTGGAAAGTACTAGAGGATTTAGGATAATTAACGAATATCAGACGCGCTACTTATTTCCCTTTGTAGAGGGGATTAGTATCAAGTTTTTCCCAAGGGATCTATCTATACAGTAAAACAACGTGGTAAATCAAACTATATCCTAATAAACATACTTAACCCTAAATGGTTTCACTTACCAAATTCCTTTAAAAATCAACTGACTTGTATTCATCCAGTAAATTTCACCTTAGTTGTGTTGTTTCGTTACCTCATCGCTTTTTCTATTGATTATCGTTGGTAGATTCATCTCATTTACTTCACATAGTTAGGTTTCAAACAAAAATCTTCATCAATCGTAACTGCAATATTCACAAACACTAACTGATAGCATCTTAACATATTTTTTAAATCTAATTCTGAAGTTCCCTTTTGAAAATAATTCACTGGAACATGAAAATCTTTTTATAGGTAACTAGATCATTCATTATAACTATATTCTGTATGAATATGATAGGTTTTCAAATAGAATGTGACTTCATTATTTAACAGCAAATCTTGTTCTTAGCCTTGACTAAACATTGTAAAATGAAATGTATAAAGTAATTTCCACTTATTAGATAATAATTGTACTTAATAAAATATACGAGAATATTCTCACTAGTCAAGTGAATACTTATTCAATAAAAACGTTTGGGTATTCAAAATTGACACATTTGGAAATGTAATGTAGTATTCAAGTGTTAATGTTGCGTTCACTTCTTGTCTGGTCTTTATGATGAAATTGTTTTCTTCATCTAGTCTGTTATAACGATTTCTAGCAGTAACATCATGAGATCTCATCAAAAGTTTCTATCGATCCCAAACAAAATATAACTTGTTCTTATCAGAATGGGTTTTGTGGAGATTTTTTTTTAGAAATTTCACAGATTGAAATCATGAGTCAGTTGAAGCTAGACCACCATTGGAAACCTGGAAGCATTGGACGGCCGTTTCGTCCTAGTATGGAACTCCTCAGCAGTGCGCATCCACGACCCCGCACCACCCAGGGCTCGAACCCAGGACCTACTGGCTTCGCGCGCGAGCACTTAACCATTAGATCACTGAGCCGGCATCCAACGGTGTTAATGTCTAACTTCAACCAATCCACGAAGTTGCGCTACCGTACACCATTGTCCTCAGTGAGTTCCTATCTCACAACAGACCTGGTTGAACTCCACTGGTAACGATTTCTCACTAGAACTCCAGAAGTGTCTCCTGATTTCAATCTGTGAAATTTCTAAAAAATCTCCACAAAACCCATTCTGATAATAATAATCACCTGCTCACTAGTGACTGACTTCAGGAGACACTTCTGGAGTTCTAGTGAGAAGTCGTTACCAGTGGAGTTCAACCAGGTCTGTTGTGAGATATCAGCTCACTGAAGACAATGGTGTACGGTAGCGCAACTTCGTGGATTGGTTGAAGTTAGACATTAACACCGTTGGATGCCGGCTCAGTGGTCTAATGGTTAAGTGCTCGCGCGCGAAGCCAGTAGGTCCTGGGTTCGAGCCCCGGGTGGTGCGGGGTCGTGGATGCGCACTGCTGAGGAGTTCCATACTAGGACGAAACGGCCGTCCAGTGCTTCCAGGTTTTCAATGGTGGTCTAGCTTCAACTGACTCATGATTTCAATCTGTGAAATAACTTGTTCTATTAACACCTAACAAATTAACCAAAACGTCAAAAAACAAAGCCGACAAAACAGTACAAATATTAGGAATATATATATATAACTCACCTATAGATACTTTGTAGTGTTCAAGTTGAAAAGTTAGACAGTTATTTGCAACTACACAAGGATCATGTGATAGTAAAGGGACTTCATCAGTTTCTACAACATCCAGTCAAACTTGATGCTAACAAATGCCTAAATCATTACAGTTGAAATTAATTGAGCTGAATAGAAAAAAATAGTATACAAGAGAAAATGAACCAATGATGTGATACAAAAGAGCTAGATTATTAACAAAAGAATAAATAAATCAACAGAATAATGAATAACTGGTATTATCATGTTAGACTGGAGAAGTTGCTTGCCGCAGCAATGTTATAGGTTATATCTTTTTGAGCAATAGACTCAGTAATTGATCATTCACTTCATCACTGAGAATATGTTACCTTAATTCCTTCGTTTGTCAGTCATCATTGTTCATCTCGTCGTCCTTATATTTAATTATAACAACTTAGGACAGTTTATATTTCCGCCCAAATCTAAACTGATTGACATATTTATGGTATAGTATGATAACTTTTGTTATTTTAATGAAAAGTATAGAAAACAATTAAAGATTTTAATAAGCTTATATATAATAGCGTAAAGTAAAATGTACTTCTATGGATGTACTAGTTCAGTGTGTTCAATTTTAACCAGAACAACAACAATAGAGAAAACGTACATCAACAATACACTGATAAAAGAAAATAGAAAATCATAACGTAAACAATATTATTAGTAATTCAGTCAAGTACAATGAAATAGCTGCATTTTCGCTTAAAGAATATTTTAACATCATAATAGTATGTAGCAAAAAAGAAAGAATACCAGTAAAATGCAACAATAATAATAATTAATTAATGGCAACCATTGTAGAAAAAAAAATAATGTTAATGTAATGAGCATAAGGCAATGTGTTAGACAATAAATTCAGTATATAAGTAGTAAAAAATTGATCGCAAAAAAAGTCGAAAAACCAAGGCTTACAAATTTCATAAGATAACAAGCATTGAATTGATGAATTACACATATAATTAAAATGAATAATCGATTATATACTACTTCCTTTATTTAGAATTTGATTATAACATGCTTGTAATGTATTCATTAGATAAGGTAATAGTCCATGAAGTGATAAACGTCTCGGCACTAAATGTTCAATAAAATCCAATTCAGCATCTAAATACATAATTCCAGAGCGTATTACAACATATTGTATGATTGGTAATAATTGATCAAGTTCAGATAAATGAGATAATGTATCCATCGAACAAATTGATGGATTTCTGCAATCATTATTATTCTTAATTGATGTTTGTAGATGAGAATCGGAACGTTTACTTTTACTAATTATATAATAATGTTGGATATTTTATATGATACACACAGATATGAGTGAACACAAAGGACTGTAACAGAAAGAGATAGGAAAATAAATAATTACTAAAACATTTGAAATTTGTGAGCTACATTGTGACTAACAACAATAGACAAAACGTAATAATAAAGCAAAGCTGTGATCACGCAATCGAATATCAAAGAACAAAGATCAGTACGATACCAATTTTAGTCCCTGATACTAGAAGTAGTACCATATATCTTATCTGGTCTATGAATATAAGTGACATCATCAACGATCACCATACAAACGATATGCTTTTTTGTAATGTATAACAATTTCTTGTGAACTGACTTATTAGTCGTTCCCTATTTTGTCAGAAACGTTAAATATAATTTTCTAATATCTACTTCGATCTCGACAGTACCTGTTGTACGGTAGATTAACAGTGTATGCATGTTTAAGTGTTACGAAAGAAATTCCAGACTAAAACATAGCTGGATTAAAGACAGAATACTGATCTGCTTCAAGTGACTACAAATTAAATAAACGTGGGAAATTTATATTAGTAAATAAATTCTATTGTATATGAAAGGTGTGCAACATGTTGTTCATAATGAACTATGTAAACAACGACGAAAATTGAATTGGAAGAAGAATTATATAGACTAATTGCATCCCTTTTGTCACTTAGACTGTTTAAAACTTGATAAAACTCAAAATATTAATCAAATATGAAAGGACCTAGGTAAAATCAATGTACAGATTGATCAACTGTTTGATACCGTTAATCGCTTCTGGACCACTATGGGTTATTTGGAAAATAAATCCTTAATATATTCTACTTTGTGTTATATAAGCACGTGAATCATTAATTCATTGGTTAAAAAGAATAACGACTGAATATGAAGACAACCAACATTTTACAACGTCGACTGTCAAGTTAGAAGTTATTTAAGTGGAAAGACTAAAAGACTGGTCAACCGAAAGATGTTGATATGAAGGCATTACATTTTTGGCATTGGTAAAAATTGCACTACATGGGAAAATACGATAAAGTATCCTAAAATTCCCTTAATGCTACGATATGTAATGAATTTTTACTTGACTTATGAAGTTCCCATTTTCCTTTATTAAACTATCAGCATGATTTGATCCATAACCAGAGCTCATAAAAAACAATGCTACACAGGAAATAAACTATTAAGTCAATTATGTAGACGAGACATTATGATGATGAACAGAATTTTACTTACTGGTGAGTTACTACTGTCAGATGATGTGTCCCATAACCAAAAATTTCTTTAAAAAAGTCAACTTAATACAATAAACATTAATAACATCGATAAATAGCAGTAAAACCAAAGGACGAGTATACTGTAAAGCAATTTGCTGTTCTGCTTTATGGTTGTGAAACGTGGCCTCTAAAAGTACAGAGAATAATCGCAAGTTAATAGCATTTGGTCATGAGTGTTTTTGAAGCACTGCTTACGTATTTTGGGACCATCGAGTGAGTAATGTTGAGATTAGACACAGGGAACTAAGATAGTGAATATTCATCGACTGAGATGGTTGGGATGTTTATTCATGCTCAACTACAGCCTACCCCAACAGGAAATATTGACTGGTATCGGAATAAGTTGGAGAAAATTTAAGAACGGCCAAACCAAAACCATTTTATTTGTTTATGAGCCGTGTGGATAGATGCAAACTAGTTGGCTGGGGAACACATGATTACCGTCATGACTTACCGAAACGCTAGACGGGAGCAATGACGTTCCATCGAGTAAATTTTTTTGGATTTCTTCAGACTAATAATCAAAATTATCAAACGTTGGAATTATTTTAAATTTTAACCGCTGAGATTATTTCAAATATAATTTTTACATATAATGAATTAAGTAGAGTGTGTTATACAACACATAATGCATAGTTGATTGCATGATGTAGTTAACCAATACATGGTATTATTATCTATTTTAATATATATACATACACGTCATTTGTATTTATATTGCGAATTTTAAATGAAAATAAAAGTGATCTACCTATAAAATGAATCTTGACAGAAAATGAAAACTAATCCTTAATCAATACAAGAATGTAAGGTAAGTGATGATAATGAGATATACATGAAGTACACACGAATACACAAACAAACATACACACATGCATATACTTACCCGCTTAATTGACCTTCCGCTAATCTGCACAGAAATAATCGTTTACTATTAATTGAGTTATGTATTGCTTCAAATTTTCTTTTACGTTCGTTTTTAATATTATTTTGATTAGGGGAATAAAGGCGACGGTAGTGGTCTACATGAGTTAGACGTGTAATTTGTTCATTAATTTTTTCATGTCAAATTTTTCATTAACAGTAGTAAACTAATAACACTTTATACTTGGCTTACAAATCTAATTAATTACTAACAGTATATATATATATATATATATATATATATATATATATATATATATATATATATATATATGATCAAATTCTCAACGACCTACAAAATTCTTTGTTTTAAACAGATTAAAATACTTGAAAATGTCTATTCTTAATCCATATGAATAAAAATCTTAATAAAAACTTATAAATTTACTAATTTTGTGATTTTATACACGGTGAACAAAACAATCGAAGTGGAATTTGAAGCAGAATGAAATACCATATCAGTACAAATGAAATAAAACTAACAAATTGAATAGTAGAGGAGACGAAATAATCATAATAATAAATAATAATGAAACAGACTAATCAACAAGACCATATTTCACAAAGAACATGAATGAATACTAGAAGGTAAGATCTAGAAGGAAATAAGGAGTGAACTCATCTGAGTCACAGTGACCAATCCTCAAGCATTTCGCTCAGCATGTCCAACCACTTGTGAAGACTAATGAGCGGCCCCCAACCACGTTATATATATCCCCTTACGTCATTCCAAACCAGATTCCCAATTTTCAGTACTTTTCATTGTCACTGATACTATGATTATTTCAGTTTCTTTGCTATTCATCTTAATTTTATCTTATGTTTATGTATGCTAAAACAACTTTGGCAGAAAAGCACACGTTTGTTGTTGTATTTCTGAATGGCAGTATTATTAAATGTACCACTGAATTTATCGACCACTAGAAGATTGCACGATAAAATGTTTAATATACCCTAGGAAAATATGAAGAGAATAGTAAATAATTGTGAGTATCACATGACGAAATAACTTTGAATACATATATAGGAAGGCGAAAATTTAGTAGTCAATTTACACAACAGCTCTATTGTTGTAATATAATCAGATCTCTAATACATCAGAAGAAAGAAAGAAGAAATATGTAGAAAAACGTTTTGATTAGTGAAGTTCAACCAAGACGAGTTTAAGACAATCACTCACCAGTGAGATTAAAAAGCCGTTGCGCGATATCGCAAATTGACTGTAGCTAGATATATAAACACTATTGGATACCAGAGCAGTGGTGTGAAGATTAATTGCTCACCATGAGGCCTGAAGGTACTCAGTTCAACTCTCGATGGTGAGTTCATATATGAGCACTCCGGAGAAGCCCAATATTAGGAAATAACAAGTGTCCTGTGACTCCTGATTTTGAATAGTTGTTTAACTGAAATCAGTTTTTGATGTTAACTATTAGAGAAAAAGTTAGTAATGACAAGTGGTGTCAATAAATGTTAATATCTATCATCTGAAAAAATCCCCTCAGATGTAAGACAGCAAGATTAAGCTAGATAATATTTTATTCAATACAATAACAAGCAGTCACACTCAGTAAGTCTGGAGTAGAACTCACTAAGAGGAAAGGAAATCACATATTTAACAGTCAATAGGCATTTAGTTTATTGACATCACGAAGGCGATAAAGATGGCCCAGATTTTCATAAGCCACTCTAGCTTTCACTATACGTGCATTTATCTCATCACTAACGCAACCACCAGCACTTACGTAGTTACCTAGATACACGAACTTCTCGACTACTTTCATCTGCTCCCCCATCCAGCGTGAGCACAGGATTTGAATCCTGCCAGTCCTGTAGAAGTACTTTGCACTTCGAAGGTGCAAAACACATACCATACCTACGGACATTGATTGCCAACTGATTAAGTGTGGATTGTATGGCTTGGGCATTATCGCACAGTAAGACAATATCATCCGCATACTCAAGGTAGAGAAGTCTTTCTCCAAGCAACCGATCCACACTGCCATAACTTACATCCATCAGAGCTGCTTCCAGAATGTCATCGATGGCAAAGTTGAAGAGGAATGGTGAGATTGGGTAACCCTGTCTAACCCCACTGCTTGAATGGAACAATGAAGAGAGATGGTTGTACGCCCTCACTCTGTCTGAGTTGTTTGTATATAGAGCTTTAAGATGTTAATAAACTTCTCAGGAACACCCTTCTTCAATAGACAGTCACTCAGAACAGTCCTGTCCAACAAATCGAAGGCAGCTCTGATGTCAAGAAACACTACGATTGTTGGCCTGCGATAAGTATGACGGTGTTCTAACATTTGGCGGAGGCTGAAGATATGATCATTACATCCTCGATCAGAACGAAACCCAGCCTGCTCCTCGAGAGTCAATCTTCTCGGGTTTCGAACAACCTGCAAAGTATGACAGAAGTCAATAATTTGGAAGCAATCGGATGTAGACTTATCCCCTGATATTTGTTACAGAAACGACGTCAACCGTTTTTAAAGATAGGGACAACTATCGACTCATTCCATGAAGTCGGAAAACTCTCTAGCTCCCAAACCTTTGTAAACAACGTTGTCAGTTATTTAACCAGAAAGTCACCACCATCTTTAAAAAGAGTCAGAGGTAAGTCAACTGAGCCCGGAGATTTGTAGCGCTTCAAGGGTTGGAGTTCCTTGCGGACTTTCACCTCATTTGGTGGATCAGTCGTCACCGGTCATGGAGGTCAGGACAGTCTGACAGATGTTGCCGGAGCAGCAGGTCAGATGAACTGCCCTTCGAAGAATTCTGCCCATCGTCCAAGACGTCGATGGATGTCAGTGATTGACATCCCGTCATCCCCGCAGATTGTTTCGCTCACACCAGACTTCTTGCTGCCAGTGGCTCGGATGAGTTGGAAGAGCTTCCGGTAGTTACCTGATGCAGCTGCTGCTTCCAGCTCATTAATACGCTCCAAACACCAAACTTTTCGGTCCTTACGCAAGCTTTGTCTGATTTCATTACGTAACAGCCTTCGTTTGTGGTCAAACTCACGGTCACTCGGAGTAGACCGACGGGCTTCAACGAGTTGTAAGTAACCAGATGAAACCCAGTGCTTATAAGCGGGACGTTTCGCAAAGCCGCAAGCAGCTTTACTCGCCATTTTCATGACGTCATGCAGTTGCAACCAATGCTCATCTATACTTTTCGGTGGGAGGGTAACTAGCCTAGAAGCTAGCACTGTTCGGTACTTACTTGCAACAGAAGTTGCAACCAGCTTGCTAATATCAATCCGTTGATGGCGGTCATTTCGTTGTCCACTGAAAAGTAAGGTAAGATTGGCGCAAACAAGGGCATGATCAAAGCCCAAATAGGTACTCCAAAAGGAGAGGCAGTCTTGTACACAACTACGTCAGCGGTAGCCGATCGCGGTGTGATCAATCTGAGTCTAGGCTTGAGATGCAGAGGGAGGACGCCAGGTGGCACATCGGCAATGACTGTGCCGAAAGTTAGTGCTAGCCAGAAACAGGTTGTGGTGTGTGCACAGCTGCAGTAGATGGTTTCCGTTATTTGACCTGCGACCAACAAGTCCTCATCGACAACCTAAACAACTGTCTTCTGTGACTAGACGCCCGACCTGAGCATTCAAGTCTCCGGCTAGTACTACAATGTCTGTCGGACGCACTTTCTGAATAAGTTTCAAGCCATTGACCAGTGTACACATTGCCTGCATTACAGACCGAATTTAGAAAACCTGAAAGGCAGAAAATGCTGAACAGACTTTTAGTCCCAGTATAGGACTCCTTGACAGTGAGAACCTACGACGCCTTCAGGGATCGAAAGACCTAAAATCCTTGCGGCAATGGTAACTTAGTGATCTGAGGGTTAGGCACTTGAAGTGGAACTCGAAGATCCTAGGTTTGGTACCCAGTGAGATAGTGCGTAGGTACTGCTGAGGAATCCAATGCTAGAACAAAACACCTCTCTAATACTTCCCAAGTTTTAGTGATATCCCAACTTAGGTCAATCAGTAATAAATATAACCTATAATTTGGAACCAATCTCCACAAAATTCCCGCAAAATAGACCAAGTTATTGTTCTCTAAAAAACAAATCAATATCAATGGAGTATTATTTCAACCACTTAACAATTCACTGGTAGGATCTATCAAACCCAATCTCCCAATATTGGGGAAAATTTGATCCATTTCGGGGAAATGGCACTAAAACCCCACTCTTTCTATTTAAGTAGCTGAAATGTATTTGAATGGTTGTCTGGCTTAGATCGGTTTGCAATTTTTCTAGTATTCAGTAATCTCTACAAATTTGTATCAGTTAACTGGTACTGACCATTATCAGATGAGCACTAGCTGCTAGTGCTATAGTTGACTATAGTTGCTATAGCTTCGCAGAAATTTCCAGAGCTCTAGTAAGAAACCAATCTCCCAATTTGGGGGGAAATTTAATCCATTTTCGGGAAGCCACTATAGAAAGTTTTGGGGAAATAGCACAAAAACCCCTCCCTATATGGAGATTGGGAAACAGTGATCGCGTAAGGTGCGGGCAATGTACGCACAGAAGACAATGAAATGTCGCACAACATGGCAGATTGAGATTAGGCTTGCATACCATCGGATAACGGCTTCGTGGTCTGGAGATTAAAACCGAATGTCTTTGGTTTAACTCCCGAGGTGAGTCTAGAATTTATGGACGACCTTTGAGCGACGCTAAAGTGACCTTGGGAGTGTTTACCTACTTACTAGCGCTAAATGTGGGTTATAAAGCAGTTTGAAGAATAAGCATTATGATTTACATATTATAATTAGGGTTAGGAATTAGATTTAGGGTTTTCATCACGAATTGACATCAGTTATAATGCCGAGACGCGCTAAAATTTAAGACCTGTTATCGTAAATTTGATTGGTTCGTCCATAAATTAAGGTCTAGTCTATTCTCTATTTCTCTCCCCACTAGATCGGGGCATCTCAGAGAACATAGCAAGCGAGTAGAAAAGCCAGGAATGAAAAAATACCGAATCATCAATGCTTGAAACCTGTCACCCGATGCAGTGGTATCTGCACCCTCAATTGACTCATTCAAGAGAAGACTGGACACTCATAGAAGCCTGTGAACCATTCACAAACCAACCTAATTAAATAACGCGATCCGTATACCTATCATTAAACTAAATCAGTTGGTCAGAAAATAGTTATATATATGATACTAATTGATACTAATTAAGCATGTTATCACTCAAGAAGGAAAATAAGCCGCACACCAGCATTCGCCATCCAACTTTTCAGTTGTTTCCAGTTGCTATTCATCCTTTTCATGTCTGATTCCTATTCCCGACGCAGTGAAGGAGTCCACGTGCTCCAGAGCTTCTCCATCAAGTGTGATTTAGATGGTGTTCTCCCTGTTGCACATGATGACCTTGCTTTTCGCTTGTGCGTGTTGAGGTCTACTGAAGCAAAGGCTTCTTACACATTGTTTGTCTCGACCTGCATTTGTTGATGTGTATGAGGTAGAAGGATCAGGTCATCTGCAAAGTCTAAATCTTCTGATTGATTCCCAGCTGTCCATTGCATTCCGTACTTTCCCTTACACGTTGAAGTCTTCACAATCCGGTCGATCACCAGAACAACGAGGAAGCGGGAAAGTAATCAGCCTTGTCCGACTCTGGTCATTACTTAAAATGCATCAATCAGCTGTCGTCCATGCACCACTTTGCATTGTAGTCCGTCTTGTGGATTCCCCATGATGTTGACGATCTTCTCAGGTGCTCCATAGTGTTGAGTAAGGTTCCATATTGTCCTCCTATCCACACTGTCAAACGCCTTCTCATGGTCAATGACTTCTATGTACAGTGACGAGTTTCACTCAACCGATTGTTCAACGATGATCCGTGGTGTTGCGATTCTGTCTGTGCACGACCGATGCTTACGGAATCTGGACTACTGATCTCGAAGCTGGATGTCTACTGGATCTTTCATCCTGTCCAGCAACACTGTAGACAACTTTTGCTGTTACTGACAGTAGTGTGATTCCTCTGTAGTTCTCACATTTGCTCAGATCTCCTTTCTGTGTTATCTTGATTGGATGTTCTTCTTTCCAGCTTGTCAGTGACACTTGCTCTCTCTCCCAAATACTTTTGAATACAACGTGGAGCATGTTGCAGTTGCTCCTGTTGCTTTCGCACACTTGACTTGTCTGATGGCCACCCTGGTTTCTTCGATCGTTAGTGGAGTGATATCTTTAAGAAGGTCTGTGTGTACTGCTCCGATGGCCAGTGGATTCAATGGAGTTGGCCAATTCAAGAATTTCTCGGAGCGTTCTACCCACCTGTTCCTCTGTTCTTGAATCTCGGTGCTCGTATGGCCTTCTTTGTTCTTGACTGATCTTTCTGACTTACTATATTTCCCTGATAGTTTCTTCGTCGCGTCATACAGTTGTTTCATATCTCCTGCTCTTTCAGCTTTTCCCGTCGTCGTTGTCAGCCTTTTCCCATATGTCCGCTTCTCAGCTCTTAGGGTCCTCTTCATTTGCTTGTTTGCTTCTGTCTATTCAGCTTGTGCCTTGACTTGCTCTGTTCTTGTTCGACTGTTTTTAATTACCGTCTTCCGGTTCTTCCCTTCTTGAATCTTGTCCAGGGTTTCCATAGAGATCCATTCTTTATGAAGTTGCTACTTGAGGCCCAGAACATCCTGACACGTTGATCACTTTGCAGTTGTCCTATACATTGGATTCTTCTTCCTTCAGTAGATCTTCTAAAGCTTATAACCTGTTGTTGACAGTAATCTCGAACTTATTGAGCCTGTTAGTATCTTGAAGAAGGCTATATTGAACATTTTGTTAATGCTTCCCTAGTTGTCCAGTGTTTCTTTGGCATCACATTGTGTTGATCTGAAGCTTTGTCAGCACCTCTTCTAATTCTCACCTCTCCCATTGTCCTTCCGAATTTTTAACCTATGTGAATATGATCAATATGGTTCTCCGTAGTGTGGTCCGGTGAGATTTACGTAGCTTTGTGTATGTGTTTGTGTGGAACATTTATTGAATCACATAGATTCGCAAGCCTCTCCCTATTTTCATCTCTCTTCCAGTCCATGTCATCTCGTGGTATCCTCATATCCGGTGTTGTTCATTCCGACTTCGGCGTTCACTTCCCCAATCAGGATGGTGAGATCCTTTCTTAAGCACTTCGCTATGATCGATTGCAGCTTCTTATAGAACTAACTTTTATCGTCGTCATTGCCATCGTTGGTGGGTATGTAACACTGTCTAACACTCACCGTGATTCCATCCTAATTTGTCTTAAAGGATACTTTGGTGATCCTGAATATGTGATATTCCCATCCCATAAGTACATGACGTGCTTTTTTGGACAGTATCAGAGCAACGCATTGTGTGCAAGGTGCATTTTCTTCTTCTTGACTGGACCAAAGGAGTATCTCTTTCGTATCTAGTCTTTGCTGTCCAGCTTGAGCCCAATCGGTTTCGAGTACTGATTCCGAGACCCGCCATGTTGTATCACCTCACTCCCATAGCTATTTGACTGGTCATCCCGGTCTCCCACGTTGTCCGAACTTTCCATATTTGTTACTCCGACTGTTAGAGGGGGAATCGGCCTCGTGACTTTCGAAGAATTTCGACTTTCAGCATCAGGCGTCATAATTATTCCTTTAACTTGTAGGCAGAGTTGAAATGGTTTAATCTATTTAATCTGGTTGGCGTTTTTTAGCAAGATTGTTTTTATGTGACGGGGTTGCGAACCCCATACTCAACCTTCCATCTTCCCCCGTTCTTGGGACCGGCAGTAACCCTAGAACTTGTGTAGGTATCGTTCATTAGAGCTACGGTATCATGTAAATATCTGCAGAGGACGGTACTAATGGAACCCTCTGTAGGACTTCTAAAAATCAAGCTCAACATTGGATATAGACTTAGAATCGCTTTCATCATTTACAAGTTACTTCTTTTGCCTTCTATTTTTAAACAATAACAAGGACTGCATCTTAACATTATCATTGGGAAAGTTGTAAATGGAAAACTGGTTTAAATGTTTGGTTGATCTTCCCCCGTTATTTGAACCATTTTTTAATATATATTTGTAGATCCGATCGTATTTTGATTTATCATGGTAATCGTCGTAAAAAAAATCCATGAAAGGAGAACGTCTTAGCATCTAGTTCACATGAAATAAATAACACCTAGGAGTAATATGATACATACTTTCATTACTTTCTTGATAAACTTACAAACCCGGATCTGTGTAAAGATTATCAAAGGAAACAAATCGTTAGCCTTCTAACAATTTATTTCAGCCATCACGGTGCGACACGGTGGTCGATGTATGAAAACGTATGGTGTATATTCTAACCATCTGTTAGTTTTATTTCATGTCTGCTCACTCGAATGCCTTATAATATGCAAGCAATGATTCTAATACAGTTATGGAATACTAGTAACGAAAGGTATAGGACACCTGTCTGCTTGTTCGTTAAGCTTCTTAGTGATCATACGACTAAGGTTCCCTTAAACATGTTCCAAACCCTGCTTATCTTCTTCACAGTTCGGACACATTTTTCAAAAGTATGATACGTAACAGTCAAAAATTCGAGTATAAGCGCAGTATGCAGCAGATGCACAAAAACGTGACTTATCTTTACCGATTACCTGAAATACAGAATAGGGATACTAGCTTGGCAGGTGCATTCAATAAAACTTTAATGTCTATTTGGAAAGATTAAGTGGAATTACTATGTGAGAAATAGTCCCAGTATTATGAAGAATGTTACTGAAATCGATCGTTTCAGGACGTGGGAACCATACAAACTGCAAAAATATTATTCAAAAATAATTCGAACGCTTGTAACACTATTTCATCGCTGAGCCGATACAATTTCATATCCTAAGGCAGACACCTATCGCGTATCACTTCATCGACCAGACATAATAACAAATGTTTACCCTTTTGATCTATGTAGAAATCACACAACATGAGACTTTTAAAGGAAATGTTGTTCATTAAATGAAGTTTCTGTATAGAAAGTAACTGAATGTCGGTTGGTTTTATAATACTTCAGTCCTATAGTTCTTCATGATTGGTCACCATTAGCAATGTACAGAAACGTCTAGAGCCTATCTTTGTCAGCTTATTTACTATCGCACCCGAAATTACACACAACATTCGTAAACAGTGTTCGCGTTAATCTGAACAACTTCTTGAAAAGTTACGAAGGCTGTTACGGTAGGGAGCACCTAGTCTATAATGTGCATAGTTTAAAGCACATTCCTGACGACGTGATGGAACATGGCAGTGTAGAGTCATTTTCTGCCTTTCTTTTTGAATGGTACATGCAGAAAATAAGGCGTTCAGTACACTGTGGATATACTGCAGCTGAACAAGATGCACAGCGATATGCCAAAGAAGTTTACTTTCAAAGTCAACTGAATCAGAATATGGCAGACAATGTGAGTTATTCTGAAGTGAGTTATGATTCATCAAAGGAAATCATCAACTTCACAAACTCAAATATATCAAATACCATGCCTGACGATGTAGTAAATGCCAACAATCAACCGTGGTTCATCACACAAATTATCGATAGAGGCAGGATCAGGTTTAGAGC